ATGATTTTGAGTGCATAAAATACTTAAAATATTTTCACCGCAGTGACCTAATCTACGATGCCACACCGGGTCAGTGGTGGTGACAGAGGATAAAGCAAGGCTAGATGGTGACTTAGACTGAGAGGATAGAGATGGCCATTAGTTGTTGCCCGAAGTAGAACTGCCCTGAAGTTTTAGCCTTGATAAAAAAGAAATTTTTGTCAAAAATAGCAACACAGTTGTTATCGGCACACAATTTGTGAAAATAAATTAAATTAAATTTAATGCTATGCACAAGATAAATAGATTTTAACAACGGCGGGTGGCCAGAAGAATTTAAGGAAATATCACCAATATATTTAATGGGAAGATGGGCACCATTAGCAACACTAAGAGTAGTTGGGCCAGTATAAATAGACATTAGTTAAAATACCTTCTGATGGAGTCATGTGAGTAGAGGCATCATAATCTGAATACCACAAGGCTTCATTAGCTTGACCAGTGAGAAGAGTAGGTGCAGACGGTTGAGAAAAACTAGACGGTCAATGAAGGGCAGAATGACATGTAGAGGGACAAATTGTACACACGACTGGTGGAGGTATTGCCCCAAGAATTCCCTCAGGTGATGGAGAGCTTGCAGAGTCAACATTAGTACCACAGAAAGATATAGCATTAGCATTTAAAGTGGACAAAATAGAAATACCTATAACACCTGCATTAGTAGGTCTCGGTTGTGAAGGCTGCTCGAGCTGCTGACCATGTCCCTGGCCATGAGTGTAAGGCCCCTGCGGCTGCCTCTGCTGGTATGCACTTCCTCTGCATCAGCTAAATTTTTTATTTCCGTCAAGTAATTTTCCATAGACTGATTTTCCTTCTTTTTAATGTGACACAACACACGCTTAAGCTACATAGACCTAGCCAGACTTGCAGGCATAAATCTAGTTTGCAATCAATCCAGATCCCAAAAGAATGTTTGACATCATGTATATCAATTAATATATCATGAGTAAGCGTAGCAAATAAATATGAACGAAGTTTTTGATGAATTCGTATCCAATGATAATAGTCGGTATTAATGATTTGGCGATTATTAAAATCAATCGTGTACATGGGAGGTACCTGGGTGGAACCATCAACAAAGCCAAATAACCCTTGGGATACTAGGAATGATTCAAACTGAGTGCATTAGGTGAGATAATCTTCCACGACCTTGAGCTTCATGGTAGCAATCTGAGTAACATTAGAGACTAGAGAGATGGATTATATTGTGCGATGGCAACCATTGGGAACTGAAAGAGGGGGTGTTCTGTGGGCTGAGATGTCCCTGGTGCTACTGCCAAGGGAATGTCGGAGGAAGGTATTCGAACATCGAGTAGGTGCCTGACACGTTTGCGACTAGCGGCGTTGAGGTCAGCGGCAAAGCCACTATGGAAGTGATGGCTACGCTAGAAATTGGCACTGCATCAACGGTTGAAAAAGAGGTCATCGGCGTTGTGCTGGAGGAGACAGCTGAGATAAGAACAAACATTATAACATAATTCTCACCTTATGATCACATAATGTTTTGCAAAGATAAGAAAATAACTTAAAATAACATGTCATAAATCGGTCAGGGACCAGTGAATGAAGATGAGGTGCAAAGGTTGGATTATTCATGAATAATCAAAAGGTGAGACTATTGTAAGAAGACCGTTAAAAGGTTGGATTATTAGTTTTCATTTTCCCTTTAATATTAGGCTATTAGAACTGTGGAGGTCATCAAAGCTTATCCCTGGCGAATTTGGCAGTTAGGGAGTGGGAGTTAGATGTCAGAAGGAGAAGTTTTGAAAACAAATACTCCCAACTTACCTTTTTACCTTTTGAACGGGTCTTAAATACGATTTTAGTCCTTGCAAATATGACACACTTTATTTCAGATCTCTGCAAAATAAATTTTTTGTTTTTCATCATTGTAATATGCATTATTTTGTTTTTAGTACATCTCTAACTCTGAAATCATTCTACTTAGAATATAATTTAAGTCTAATATAATTTGTTTTTAAACCTTTGAATGTTAAGTCAGAGAAATGATATGGTCAATCCAGATTGACGTGAACCATCGTCTAGCAGAGCCTGTTTGAGCGATTTTTGGGATGAATTTTTCGATGCATTTTTTTGAACATGTTGTTAATGATGTGAAAATCATTCGTGCAAAATTTCAGTTTAAAAATCAATCGAGAAGGCAGTTAAATAATTTTTGAAAAACACGACGTTTTGTTTATATACATAAAGCCTTGTGTTTTTCACTTTTTCAACAATTTACTCACTAACATTTCATTAAAAAAATCACTCAAAATACCCTCAAACGAGCCTATCTTTTGACCAAGTCATACATGACCCTCCTAATTGGTATTCCTTCAAAAAAACGGCCACCATTCCAAAACGAGCCGAGGGTTGCCAATGTGAACATCACGGGCACACAGATGATCGAAGCAACTGAACCCCCTTTGTTGGAAGAATCCAAAGGCAGCCCCAGCAATACTGCAACCCCACATTATCATTAACAATTCTTAATGAGTCATAGAATAATATCATTACCCAATGATATTATTCTATACATTTGTATCTATACTCGTAATAATTATGAATATGATTGAGTTGACGACCAAGCAAAGATAATGATCTCGCTAATGGTGACCTATGTCTTATCAAATCACATCATGCGTGTTTATTTGAACGAATTAGCAAGACTAATTGGTAATAAGCAGAGTAAATACACAAGTTAAATTCTTAAATAAAAAGATGGATGGCATCTATATGATTTCAACACAAATCAGACAAATTTAACGCAATGCGATCATTTAAGTTATTCTAATCAAACTTCAGTCTTGCTAAATAGACTAACTATCACCAATGATTCTGACACATTCGAGTATTGAGGAGGGGGAAACATAAATATGTACGGCGTTTATAGTATTAGATTATATTAGAAAATACAAGGTAAAAGGAAGAAAATTATCCTAAATATGCCTATAAACGTCTCTATATTCCAAAATAGAATTATCTTATTTTTATTTCCTAAACAAGATTAATTATTTTCATGTTTTGACAGTGTCAGATTTTAGGCATAACATTATTTTCCTAATCACTCATTTTTATGGTACCTAATTACTCATATTTAGAGAATAAAAAACACGATAGTCCTATTTTGAAAATTTAAAACACTTTTACACCTATTTCGAAAAGTACAACATTGAGATTGTATATTTTCAAATTTGTTCGTTTTGTTTCCAGTCTAATAGTTTGATTATTAAGAGCCCATTTGGTAGCACAAAAATCGATTGATTTGGTTGATTTTGCTGAAATTTATAAAGTTCTGGCTGAAGTGACTGCATTGGCCGATTCTGCTGATTTAAGAAAAAAATGTTTTTAAAATATATTCTATTAAGAAAATAAAGAAAAAATTATACTTCGTGTGTAAAAATAGCTAAAATGGTCATCTATAGTAACTTCAGTCAATACAGCTAGAAAAGTAACTCCAACCTTACTTTTTCTGCTTATTACACAATTTAGCGCGCGAAAGCAAAAGTTACGTTTAGATATCATGAGTCTAAATATCTAACTTTAAATTTCATATAATGATTTATGTAATATTTAAATTAAGTATGTTTAGAATTAGTTTTCTTATTAAATTGGCTGGAATTGATGAGTAGAATTTTATTCAGCTACTTTGCATTTAAAAAAATTGTTCATAAAATATATTTTAAATATAGTTTTTCATAATTCAGCAGACTTAAACTATTCATTTACTTCAGTCTCATTTTGTAAAATACACTATCCCTTTTATATTTTTATAATGTTATATAACATTAATAACATGTTTGATGATCCATGTTTTTGACTTAGAAACCTCAACAGTCAATTTTTTCACCAAATATGTAACTTTTGATTTCACGCGTTGAATTGTATAAAAATCAGAATAAGTAAGTTTGAAATAATTTTTTTAAATGAATTGACTAAAGTCGTTGTAGAAGATTTTGCATTGTAGTTATCGTCTGACCTTTTTATTGTTTATGAACACATACACTTTTTATTTTCTTCGAGTTTAAAAATGTAAAACAAAAATTTAATTCTCTGTTTTGATAAACTCTTGTAAATTTAAGGTATACTAGAACATCTTCAATGCAATAATGTGTATGGTGCATCAGGGGCATGAGAGAAATAAACACAAAAATTATATCAATATAACATATCTCTGCTTATTTGAATGATCTTATCAATTTTTGGTAACTATTTCTCCATAAAATCAAGGAAAACGTCTAGATATAAGCATTGTGCTTGACATTCTTGCAAAATATAAATTAACTAAAATATAGAATATTTTGCAAAGAGAGAGATTAATTTTCATTAATTTAATTTTTGATGTCTATATATCTCATGTTACGTATGCATCATCAACATTGTTGAATTGGAGATGTAGATGGGAAGAATTACTAAATTTAAAGGTGTATTCGACTATATTTATATTTTCCCTTTGATATTCCTAAATTAAATTCAAAAGATAAAAATGTAACTTATTTAAAAATAAATAAATAAGATTACATATTTAATGGCTAGTTCACAATGACACGTCATCAACGGTTAGTTGTTATTCTAAAATACAATATAGTGATTAGTTTATTGTGATTCTTACATAGTGACTAGTGATTAGCCATATTTTTATTAGTAATGTACTTATGTACATGTCATTTTTCTTAAACATAACCTAAATCTAATAAAAATGTAATGAACTAATCAGGTTAGAGACTCATAAACACAAATTACTCTAATAAAAATGTAATGAACTAATCAGGTTAGAGACTCATAAACACAAATTACTCTATCTCAAAAAATTAAGTTCTAAATTTACCTACACGATGTTTGCCCTGATATGATATCGCGATTGTTGTTTTTGAATAATCGGATGTTTGAATGATATTTTTTTTAAAGATATCCAAATTCTAAATAATAGAGAATACTCTTGTTTTTGAAATAAAAATTACTGGGAAAAAAGGCAAGGGAGGGAAAGGTGGCTTCTTTCTTGGCTCCTTCAGCCCTCCATTGAAGCATCTTCACTAACTTTTTCTTTCTTATGGACAGTTCCATTCTAATGCTACTTTTTCTGCCGTATACCTTTTATTGAATTCTTGTTACTTTATTACTGGATTCTAAACTTAAATCAAATTTATGATTCTTGGTGCCATTTCTTCATAAACTCATTTTCCTTCGTTCCCTGTATTTAGCATCCTCTCTTTCTTCTTTGGTTCGGATCAAAGTTCTCATCTTTCTTCACTTTACATGTTCAAAATTTATGCTTTGTTTCCTAACCCCCTGATCTTCGGGAAATTTTAAATTTTGGCTAAATGGGAATTTGCCATGGGAAACCATTTGAACCTCCACGGAGCTTCTTTGAGGACTCAACAATTCCCAGTGAAAATGAACATGCATTGAGCAGTACCCTCCATACTGGGAAAACCCCAAGGTTCCCATTTTACAGTCCCAGTCCACTGTTCAATGCATTCAAGAATTCACCTTCCACTTCTACCCCTCTTCGATTCTTCAAGAAGCCCTTCCCTCCTCCTTCACCAGCAAAGCATATCAGGGCATTACTTGCTAGGAGGCATGGTTCAGTGAAGCCCAATGAGGCCACAATCCCAGAAGGGAGTGAGTTTGGCATTGGGTTGGACAAAAACTTTGGGTTTTCAAAGAATTTTTTAAACCACTATGAGATTGGGGAAGAAGTCGGAAGGGGGCATTTCGGGTATACTTGTTCTGCAAAGGGAAAGAAAGGGAGCTTGAAGGGTATGGATGTTGCTGTCAAAGTCATTCCTAAAGCAAAGGTGAAGTCTTTTGAATCATCTCTCATAATATTTAAATTAGTTTTATAAATTAAAGTTTACCCATTTAAAATTATGAACTGCAAAAACTGAATTTGGATATCATAAAAATTTGAAATAAAAATATGTTACACATATGAATAGTGAATAGTGAAAAGAATTAGGGAATGAGGGTGTAACTTTTTCACTTCGTTCATCTTCATTATGGTTAATGAGGATTTTTTTTGCAGATGAATACTGCTATAGCTATTGAAGACGTAAGAAGAGAAGTTAATATACTGCGTGCTTTAACTGGGCATACAAACTTAGTACATTTCTATGATGCATACGAAGATGAGAGCAACGTTTATGTAGTAATGGAGTGAGTACAATGATTCTCATCGTTCGTAATTAACTATGCTTTCATCCTACATGATGTTAACTTGTTTCCATGGAGAGCTATTCAGTCATTTCCTTCTGTTTTTTGTAAGAATAGTACTTATTTTCCTTGTCCTAAAAAAAATATTACCAAGAAATCACAAGTTTATGATATCCTATTATGCACCTTAGATGTTTCACAGTTTTAAGAAATCACAATATCACCTAAGCATTTCACATTTATGTTTGGCTTTACCATACATGTTTTTTTATCTGTTCAAAATGACAAAAAACGGGTATACTAGGAGGTGATCATCCCAAGAACTTATATTTTCGTATCTATCATACTTTTTGCTTAATCGGCTAAGTGCTATTAAGAGTGTTAACTTAGCCCAATAGTATAATAGTTTCATTGCTATTAAACCTGATAATGGTTTGTTTGTTTTTTGCTCAAAGACTATGTAAAGGAGGAGAACTGCTTGACAGGATTCTTTCCAGGTGCATAAATACTACCGTATATATTATCTCATTTGGTCACTCTCTTGCAGCCACTATCTTACTAAGGTCATTTTAATCTTGTTTTTTTAATGAAGGGGTGGGAAATACTCAGAAGAAGATGCTAGAGCTGTTTTGGTTCAAATTTTAAGCATTGTATCTTACTGTCATCTTCAAGGAGTTGTTCACCGCGATCTAAAGCCTGAGGTATAACAACCTCATCTGTCTAACTTTGGGACATTTAGACCCGTTTGCAGCCATATTCAGTAAAATAACCAGGACAAGTGGCTGTGAACTTATTTGGCTGAAATGGATGCTATTAAATGCGTTTATTTATCAATAAAAATCAGCAGATTCAGCAAGTTGATCCAATAACACTTACCCTTTTTTTGGGATTAATCGTTTCTTCATAAATTATGCTTCAGAATTTTCTATTCACATCAAATGATGAGCGTTCTCCACTGAAAGCCATTGACTTTGGACTTTCTGATTATGTAAAACCAGGTAAAGCTCACCTAGAAATTATGTGTGTATATTAATATAAAAAAGAATCCCATCGAGTACATTATGATAGTCCTTTAGTAACCATAGAAGAATTTTGCAGATGAGAGGCTAAATGATATTGTTGGGAGTGCATATTATGTAGCCCCAGAAGTTTTACATAGATCATATGGAACAGAAGCTGACATGTGGAGTTTAGGCGTTATCGCTTATATTATTCTAAGTGGAAGCCGGCCTTTCTGGGCACGAACGGAATCCGGAATCTTTAGGGCCGTTCTCAAAATTGATCCGAACTTTGATGAAGCCACTTGGACAACATTGTCCTCTGATGCAATAGACTTTGTCAAGAGATTGCTGAACAAGGATTACCGCAAGAGACTAACTGCATCTCAGGCTCTGTGTAAGCTTACTTCAACAATGACAGTTGTAGTATCAGCTGTTGAGGTTTAAAAATATAGATGATAATGAATTAATGACAAATATATGACCAAAATTAATGTAATGGACAAAAATGTGTCCTAAAATCATAGTGACCATGGTGATGTTCATTTTTACACTGTACTGACCACGATGGTATTTTCACAGTGACTAGTGACCATATAGTCATATTTTATGTCTATCAAGTTCTATTTTAGTATTATTATATGAAAATCCCCGTAGTAAATGTTTAGTTCACCTATCAGCTTTAGCTTCTTTTAGTTCTGAACTTTATTTTTCTCATTTGTGTGTTAAAGGTCATCCTTGGTTGGCTGGTCATCATGATGTCAAGATACCTCTGGATCTGATGATATTCAAGCTAGTAAAAATTTACATATATTCCTCATCTCTCAGAAAAGCTGCATTGAGAGTATGTAATTTCTGCCTTCTCATTCTCTTAACATTAAACCTGATGTGAATAAATTTTTCTCAACTTCTAGTCCGTCTTTGATGAAAAATACAAGAATGTATGTTAAAGTGGTTGTGGCTTGAGACATTCCAATTTCATATACCATTTTTTAAGACCATGTTATATTGTTTTCAAGATGTGCCTCCCCTTAGACAGATAAACATAGAACCGAGTGGATAGAAGTGATTGTCCCTTCTATATAAATCATTGTGACCTGTCGATAAGTAGCAAACAAGTAACTACTACTTTTTAAATCAGAGTTTGTCAAGAGATTTTGCCTGTTACTACACATAGATGATGCTTGAGTTGAAAAGTAATTCCACACATAGAGAAGTTGTGTCCGTGTGAATGAGTTTAATTTTAAAAATGTCACTAATACTATCTAGTCTTGCAAGGTTATAATGCTTAATCTGTTCCGCGACAGGCTCTGGCAAAGACATTGACCATACAACAATTAATTTACCTCAAAGAGCAATTCACATTGTTAGGGCCGAGCAAAAGTGGTTGTATATCGCTGCAAAATTTCAAAACGGTTAGTCTTCTGCCATCTCTATCTGTTCATAGCTTGGTTTGTCTTTAATTCTTATTGTAAATGGATTTCATAAATTATAATGGTAATGAGCTTCCGATTGGGCCCCAAAAAGTATGCCTGGAAAATTAAATGATAGGCTGAAGAAACTCGATGAAATTATTTTAGATATTTTCTCACACTCATTTGTTTAGAATAATCACATATATACGATTGAAATGAAAGTAATAGTTGAAAATATGCCTTTTAATGGTCAGTGACAGTAGAAGTATATTTAAAAACTCTTGAGCTGATGTAAATTTAAAAGAAAAAAAAAACTAATCATACTTTGTTACCATTTTTTTCATTTCCCTAACATATTCTGGATGCAAACATGATTTGGCAGGCTGTGATAAAGAATGCAACTGATGCAATGAAGGATTCTGGAGTCCTGGATTTCATCAACACAGTGAGATTCTTATTAACTTCCTTTGTTTCATCATTCATCATTGGGTATATATTACTGATGGATGGCATTATGGTATAATAAGGTTCACCAAAAGGAATGTGAGTTCTTTAATGCCATTTCAGGTAAGTTGTCTTCAGTACAAGAAGTTGGACTTTGAGGAGTTCTGTGCAGCAGCAATAAGTGTCCATCAGTTAGAAGCAATCCAAAGCTGGGAACAACATGCTCGTCGCGGCTATGAGTTTTTTGAAAAGGATGGAAACCGGATTATTGTTATCGATGAACTTGCATCAGTACTCCCCCGCCTACCCACCCACTTTCTCATTAATTTGAATTTATTCTGTTTTATTTTTTCAAAAATCCTATTATATTCTTGTGAGGTGCTCTTGTGAAAGGAAAAAGCACACACAGAAAGTATTCATATTTGCAACTTACTGAAGAGCATTTTCCTAAATTTTTGAATTAATATTTGACATTTTATCTTACAAGTTCAACCTAATAATTAATAAGAGAGATGCATTGGATCCATATAATAAGATGGCATAACCCTACTTCATGAATTTACGATACTTTGATACTTTCATGTATGATACTTAGAAATTACATCCTAAAAGGTCGAATCTAATAGAAAATGAGTAGCTAATGACCTTATACGATAGTTTATATTTGTACGATGAGAGATGGTTTAACAAAATGTATTGAACTTGCACATAGATTGATAAAAGCTAAACATAAAGTATCTGGTGTGTTCTTCTACTATGCTTGCTGATGATGTTTGTGTGTATATGTACTTTTAGGAGCTTGGAGTCGGCCCATCGGTTCCGGTTCATGTAGTTCTGCAGGATTGGATAAGACAATCGGATGGAAAGCTCAGTTTCTTGGGCTTTGTCAGGCTTCTCCACGGACTCTCATCCCGTTCTCTCCAAAAGTCTTGATTATCCATTTGCATCTTTGGTCTTTTTTCCTGGAGTTTCAGTTTCTTCCATTGTTCTATTGCTGCCATCACAAGTAGTCTCAGGATTGTACAGGAGAGGGCAGTAGGTAGGTTTATAACAGAGCTAAGCGCTTGAGGGTTTGCTTGGCTTTGGAATATGTAGTTCTTGTTGTGCACTGAACTAATAATAATGAAATGAATAATTCCCAATTCTTTGTTAATCCAAAGTGCAGTTTGGCCAAAAGCACTTCCATGCTGTGATCTCATCCTCATTGGAAAGCTTTCTGATTCCACCATAGAAACCATCTACTTCATTCCCTACTTCTTGATGGCCTTTCTTGTTTATTGTTATCTGTCTCCATCTTGAACCAGGGGAGTACTGCCTGAACTCTAATATAGCCATGTCTGTCAACAAGTATGATGGAACAAAGTTAAGCTCATTAGAAAAGACAAAACTATGATATTTGAAGATTTTGAGTTTGTTTGGAATGTGAAAATGATAGGGAAAGAAAAACAGAGGATATTATGGTAGAAAATTGAAAGGAATGAAAATGTTTGTGGAAACAAAGTATTGGTTAGAACTCATTTTTTAAATAGTACTAGTATGAATTTGTTTATTTATTCAGTTTGTATATAGTAAGATACGTAGTACTACGCAATATAGTGCATTATTAAAAAAACCAATATAAATATGTGTGAAAATATTAAAAACACTAATCATAGTGCATTTTCATTTGCATTTTCTGAGATAAATTGCAACATGAGAAAATAACTTTTACAATCGTTTTCTTTCCCTTCCTATCATTTTGGGGAGAATACTAGAGAAAGAAAATAGCAAGTGTAAACATAAACGAAAGTGAAATGAAAGAGGCTGTGGAGCGGATAAAAGACTGTTTTTGACGATTTTTTTTCAGATACTCTTCTAGGTTTTATTTATTACTCCCCCGTCCCGTTGGAATGTTCCCGCTTTCCTTTTTTGGATATCCCGTTGGAAAGTTCCCATTTCCCTAAATGGAAAGTTATCTTACATCAAAACAGGGTCAAACAGTGCAAAACAGTGTCAAACAGTGTCGAAATAGTGCCAAACAGTGTCGAAACAGTGTCAAAACAGTAAAATTTACCCCTGGTAAGTTTATTTCCTTAATATGTGTGTAGGTCAAACCGGGAACATTCCAACGGGACGGAGGGAGTACTAGAATCTTAAGACTCCGTATATGCATATTTATTTCTACAAACAATAGTCATATTTAATTTCCTTTTACATTTTTCAACATTAAGCTACACATTCTGCTATTAATTTTCTTTCCTTTTCCATAAGGTAATTTTCTTCAGTCTCCTTACCACTTATATGACATTGGCAAATCATTTTGTTGCCACTGCATGATTCCATATGTCCAACAACTCCATACCACCAACCTGCAAGTCATGAAACTCTCAGCTCTAGTATTTTTGTCAAATCAATAGCATCCCTCTAATTTCTAAACCTTTTTTTTTTCTTTTTTTTATACCCGGGGTAAAGGGGCGCGGGGGGGGGGGGGGGGGGGGAGCCTGGGATAAACAGGGCTGAAACTATCCGAGACCGCTTCCTACTGCATCCTCTGAAGCTTTCCGTGCTCCTTATGTATGCATGTTTATTATCTAGGTAATCTAAGAATATTCTTGAAGAGTTAACACACATACCATAAGGGAATTCTTTGCTTTTTCTCCACTGTATCTCAATGTGATCATCTGGTTTTAAATCATTCAAGCAATCAGAGGTATGGAGATCATAAGTAGGGGTATCAACAGGTGGTGCCCTTATCCTCTTCCTCTCTATGTTTTCCTCTGTGGACCTCCACCCTTTTGTCAGATACCTGCAAAATTGTCCAGAAACAAGATAACAATACAATAATACTCCCTCCATCCCATATTTAACTCCGTGTTTGACCGGCAAGTGTTTTAAGATAGTGAGATTTGTGTGGTGGAGACTTATGCAAGAGAAATATGTAAGAATGGCGGTAAATCACATATTCTTTACCAAAAAGGGAAAAAGTAGATAAATTTGCGACATACCGAAAAGGAAAGTATGAAGATAATTCCAGGACGGAAGGAGTAATTTATATCAAACAACAGAATCAAAGTTAACAAACACAAGTAACAAGAACATAAAAAAGATTAAATAAAAAAAACAACAAGAACATAAAGAAATGAATACTTTTCTCTCAAAAAAAGAAGAATTAAATACAATAATACCTGATAATAAATAAAAAGACTTGAAAATAAATAACTATGTAAATAAATAAGTATATTTTAAATAAAAAATACCAGAACAGCAGAGAGTGCGGGATGAGATTTCATTGTACCTTGCCCTGAAAGTATCTCCATTAGAATCATAGCTGATTTCCGCATCATAGCAGGATAATGCAAACCCAAGTTGCCCATTCTGCACATTAGAAAAAACGCATAATAATTAATGAATGGTCAACAGTCCATAAAAATAAAACTGTTCAATTTGGTTCTAAAAACCAAAAACCAATGCTGAAGTTAAACGATTAGAGGAAAAGACTTAGAAAAAAAACAGATTAAGCGTCTTACTTCCAGATAACTACCTCGCGGTTATAAACCTGAGCAGGAAACCAGAACACGCCACTTTCAAGTGAGAAATATAAAGCCATGAGTGAGTTCTTAGGCAAAAGGCTCTTGAATCTATTTTCTTCTTCTGCTTCCTCTCTATGAAACAGGAAATTTGTAAAACTTGATAAATACCCAAAAATGTCCTTCTGGTCTTGGTAATTTTGCAGGAGAGACCTCTTTCTTGACGCAATGTGGCACTCCCATTCTCTATAGGCAGCATTCCCGATCAACCTCCCCCATCTCTGATTAATGTGCTTTTCCCATAAGTGGTCACTCACACACTTCTCCCTCATTGAATTGCAGACCTTACCCATGCTGCATAGCTCTGCAGGTGAAAGCCTCTCAAGAATGCAGTCCATAGCCAAGTCTGGCAGATCAAGGAAAGTGGTCTCCCCTCTCCACTCCACATTTTCTGATGATCTGAACTTCATCAGAGTAGACTTCTCCATTGGGGTCAAGATTCTTGGGAAGTTAAAGAAATTACCCAGAAAGTTCTTATCTTTTCTGAACCATGTTGCCAAGAATCTTGAGAACTCATCCCAAAACAAGGGAAGTGACCAAATTCCCATTTTACCTAGATGGGCTTTGGTAAAGAAGAGAATGATGGATACAAGAAAACGAGATTAAACTAGTTTTGTACTTCTAATGCTTGAAGGAAGGAGTTAGATGAGTAAATATAACTGAAGCAATTAAATGAGAGAGAGAGAGATGGACAGTTGAGGATAGCACAACCAACAAAGATAGCATTGGTAGTTGGAGTTATAAGTGAATGACTGAACCAACTAAGAGAGATGTATGGTTGAATCTTAAATGTTGAGTTGCCAGCAGAGATTATGGAGGCGGTGGGGGCAAAACAAAAATTATGTGATGGCAAAGGTTTGAATAGATGAAGATGAATACTAAATGGTAATTCTAAAATCACATCAAAGGATTTTTTGTCTGGACCTAAATGGGATGCTGCTTTCTGCTGATTGATATCATGATCTGATTTCTGTAGCGGTTTTTAACCTAAAAAGCCACCCCAATTTTTTAAAGATGCAATCCATCCCTAGGGCTGCAGAACTTGTCAGATAATTTGTTGGATCCATTTTTTAAAGATAATGATACATGTAAAAGAGTTTTCCATATAAATTATCTCAAATTTACTGAATGCATGTCACCTTCATTTGTTTGTAATACGTACTAAAATATATTCACCCTCCCAGGCTCCTCAACCCTCCTAGACACGGGCGGAACAACGGGGTTAAGGTGGTCAGCTGCACAAAATTTGAGAGTATAGAGCTCTAAAATATCTTCGATTTGATATATTAAGACTCCTGAAATTCATTACGAGTAAAATGTTATGAATTCTGTGAAATCAACCCTATTTAAATTTACAATGAGTAAAATTTGATACTTAATATAGATTATATTCTCAAATTTTAAACATAATGTATACTTCACTCATTATTCAGGTGACATGACTCAAAGATATAGAGTAAAGACAACATATCAAGATTTTTTATAAAAATCTAGATATTAAACTGGATGAGGAAACCTCTCGTATAAACAAGTTTATAATATATATGACTTATATATTAAATCTATAACTCTATTGGTCTCATTTAAATTATCATTTATCTAGCGGCTGTCTCCCTTGCATAAGGGTTCCAGTTTTGTCATCTTGTGTGCGGCGTTTAGATTTAGCAGAGAATGAATTATTCACAGGAATATCGCTAGACATGCTGTGACAGCCAATGGAGAAGAGATGCGGGAGCCAAGGGAGGGAGAATGGGAGGTGTCCAGAGACTCTGAAATTGCGGGGCAGACGGAGGTTGCGCATCAGGGAATCAATCGAGCGACGGGCGGGAGTTGTGCCTTGTTCGTGTTAACAATCATAGCGATGGTCCGGCCTCCGCCTGAACCACCGCCAGGGGATGAACGAGGTGCTAGGGTTCAAGATACTCGTTTTGCTTATTTAGTTTTTTTCATGTTTCGTTCTCCTCCTATTAGCTTTTATTATTTTATCATTTGTTTTCTTATTACCGTCTATATTGTTAGGTTTGCCAGTTTGTTTGGGAATTTAGCCTCTTTTTATGTCATTGGATATGTTTGGATCTACGGGAACAAAGATGGCTGTGTCAAACCCGCTGCATGGTTAGCGATTTGTGTTACTCTTTTAGGGGTGACCGTCTCTAAGTCTGATCATAGGGTTTACAGTCATAGTTGTTGGAGTTTAGTTGGTGATAGATTTGTTTTTCCTTTGACTGATGTAATGATCCTGAAACTTATGATATGAATAGAGACAAGTTTTCGTTCTATCATTATTTAAGTTACATACTAATCCCTTTTATATTCAATTTGATTATTGTCTAAAAAAATCCACCACTTTCATTTTATATATAGTTGAGTTGCCACCTATGAGTCATTTTTTAGGCTCCACCACGGTTTATAACCTTATCAGGGAGCATTTGTTATTGCTTATCCTTCAAAAAAGTGATTTTTTAAAGTGTTTTTGGAGAAAGTACTTAATAGTAAAAGTTGGTAATGTTTGAGAAAAAAAGTGATTCTGAAAAAGTAAAAATTGGTAGTGTTTATTAAAATAAGTGTTTTTTTGTAATAGAAAAAGTGAAAAGCACTTTAAAGCATCCTTTCACTTGGTTCTAGTTTTTAGCTTTTAAGTGATTAATTTAAGGAGAAGTTGTCATTTGAAAACACTCTTTTCGGCTTTTTCTAAGTCAGAAGTTGAAAAACACTTTTAAAGCTTTAGCAAACACTCCCTCAATACCATGTTTATGGAATAACTTGTACACTGTTGTTCAAGTCCTCTTAAGCCCAAACTCTGTTATTGTTCAATGCCATGTCCGCAGTGGGATTTGCATTCCCCACACCATGGCCGCTAGCCGTGGCGTAGTCACAGTAGATTTAATATGACACCAATATTCAATATATAAAAATAAAAAAATAATCTAATACTTTGAAAATATCTTTTTTGTAAATGTTACGGAATATATCTTTTTTATTTGTACTCCGATTGTTACAAAAAATATAGCTAAATTCATAACTCTTTCTTATCTTTTATAAGACACTAATTTTGAAGATATAACAATTATATTAATTTATGATGTTTATGATCGTTTTTATTATGCACACAATTAATCAGCAGTGATAGTTTAACATGATTCATCAAATTCAGTGTTACCAAACATCTAATCAACATTTAAAACATGTCACATTAAGGTTGCATGCAGGAAAAAGTATAAGGATTTATTTCTTAAATATTACTCATAAAAAAAACATGGACAAAAAAGTCATGTAATTACTATGATATAAATTTTGACTACAATTATAATCAATAATAGTTACTCCCTCCGTCCCAAAAAGGTTAACCAAATTTGACTTTCACGTGGATTAATAAAATAAAAATTGTATGATTGAAATTTGTGCAGAGGAGTGAGAATTAATTTTAACCACATATTTCTTACTTTAGATGGAAATGACAAATCTTTTTGGGACATCTAGAAAAGGAAATTTGGTCAACATTTTCGGGACGGAGAGAGTATTAAGTAATTTTCTGTTCATCACATTTTAAAGAGTAATATTAATGGAATATATACAAACGTGTAAACTAATGTTTACTCATAGACAATAGTTGTTGGTATAAATGATTTATAGGTTTTACATATAATTGTTTTCAGATTGATACCATTGTACAAATTTATTATTTTAATTTATACTTTTCTCGTTCCGCTAAGATCGTCTCAACTTTATTTTTTGATCTGTCCCATAAGATACTTGATTTAGTAATATTGATTTAGTTCTAAATCAATCATATCTTATTCTCACTTTATCAATTTTATATCAACGACCATAAATTCTTTTTTTTTATAACTCTATTACAAATTCACAACTATAAATAGGTGTTTAAAAAAGCAAGAAAAAGGTAGGTCTGATAGTTGAACAGATAAGTGAAGAGCGAGGTTGCGATGGAAGGGTGGCCTAACTTTTACCAAACCCGACAAAGTTAGAAAACCCACATGAGGGCCACAGACAGACAGAGCATGTGAATTCTATGTACCATCAGATAGGACCAATAGATTGGATTTCATGTCTCTTCTTTACCATGCATCATTAGTAACTTGTGTCCTATTGTTTATTGTCCATTTCATCCTTCTTAATCGCCAATTTTGTAATTATCCCACGGCCTCAATCATCTATTTCAATCAATGAAATAAATACACAGTAGTATATCTGATCTATTCTTACCCAAAAAAAAGATGACACCCCATCTCTGAGGACCCCCCAACCCTAACTGGACGATACATTGGAAGGATATAAACTGGACTATTATCATAATCTAACGATAGAGAGTGGAGTTCTGTCCCCGGTACTTGCAGAGGCCCTATACATTTTTTAGCATAGTAACCTGTCATCGCAATTGTCGGGATTCGAACTCGGGACCTAACCCTTGTGACACTTCCTCGTTACCAGTTGAGCTACGCCCACAGGTCGGTTAATCCATTCTTACCCATGAATATTGTGCAATACCTAACGAGTGATCATTCACATTACAGGTCACACACATACGAACAATCCATCTCTATTTTTTTTTTTGGAACTAAGATGTCAAAGTTCAAAGTTATTGTGTCACATTCAAAATTATTCAAGGGAATCATCACGCAACCTTTATGTAATGTCCCATTGCATCATCCAATTTGGTAGGTTGTCAAGGTCTCCGACCGGCCGGTGTTGGATTAGTGATCGATGATCACCGGGTGGCAGTGGCTGAGTAAGAAATACATCTAAAATATGTGCGGCAAACCATTTTTTTTGTTTGTGCAATAGGTAATTTCTTTTGTTTGTGTCACAAAAGTTCACTTTAAAAAACAAAAAAGAAATTACATGTGCACAGTCAAAACGGAGTATGTAAAGGATGTGTGAGTATTCGGCTTCTAAGTATGTGCGAGTATTGTGTTATCATCTCGACCATTCAATTTTAATAGGATCAAAATTGTATTTTGGAATAATAGTAACTACGGAGTATTACGGAATATCATTAATTGAATATTATGAATAGTAACTACCTTTTATTATAATTATGTACTACGTATTTAATTATATGTTTATTATTTTTATATGGTCGTGTAATAGTTGAACATGTTTCCATCATTGACTAGGTACGTTGATCCACCGGGTCCCGGTTGACCAGTGATCTTGTCATGTGGCTTGGACGCTTCTTAGCCCGGTTTTTTAACATATGTTTTCATCCTATTTGAAACTTTTAACTATAACTATTTTATTAATTTTTTTCATCAAAGAGTTAATGTAGTAATATGCAACAAAATCAATAATTAAAAAAAAAAACAATCCAATGTCTGAAAGATGAAATGTATCAGTATAGAACCCGCTATGTTCGGGTCATATAGTGATACATTTCATTTTTCATGTCCCATATTGATAATTCATTTATCTTTCAGATCTCGAATTGATAAAATCTCATAATTAAAATAGCGTTTTGGCAATTTACCCTCGAAGCTGCAGTAGAGATGATAAGCCCGACCTATTAGGATGTTTTAACTGGGACTGGAATTTTTTGGTCTGGTTTGATCTGAGCTGGTCTGGTCTGGTAAATGTATGGACCTGATACATTTGAGCCATATACCAATTAGGGGTAGGCATTTCGGTTTTCGGTTCGGTTTCGGTTTAATCGGTTTGATAGAAAATGTACCTGATGGATAGTCTACCCGGGGGGTATGTATCCGAGGGGTTATTGCTGAGAATAACTTAGAGAAAAGTCAGAGCACAAGTAAGTAAGAGAGAGGGTGTATTCAGTATGAATGTCGTGGTTACAAATGGGGAAATGAGGTGCTATTTATAGTAGCAATAAATACCGGACAGGGACACGTGTCAAGCGCCCATTGGCCGAGAGGTCACCTCAACTGGTTGGCGTTGGCAGCCGCATGTGGCCGCATTTAATGCGGCTGTTGGACGGGACGTTTGTACAGGGTACGGTGATCTGTACGCATGTGAGGCGGATATCATGTCGGGAGAGGTGCCCTCGGCTGCAGAGGACTAGCCGAGGGCTCTTAGTGCCGAGGACCCCTGAGTGCCGAGGGCTCCAGGTGCCGAGGGCCACTGTTTTTTGCCGTTTTTCCCCCAGTTTCTTAGTTTGCTCGGTAAACCCGTTCTGTGAGAGTTTTTAGCCTTCGGCCAGGGGGCCGAAGGCACCCCTGGCGCGTATTGCGGGCTGCTTGGTACTCTGGGCGCTGTGATTTGGGCCTGTTGGGCCTTCTGGGCCTGTTGGGCCTTTACTGGAGTAGTAGGAGTCTGTGGGCCGGGGGTTCCCGGGCCATATACTCCATCAGTACCAAATACAAACCGATTAAGTTTCGGTTTGGTTTCGGTTTGGTACGGTTCGATTCGGTTTGGAGTTCGGTTTACCAAAGTATTAAGGTTTGGATTAAAATAAAAAAAATTAACTCAAAATAATGAACCAAGAAGCGATAGTAATGAACCAAATATAATGTTAGATATAAATTTGCAAACAGTAACAAAACACATATGAACCAAAAATATATAAGCATGACACATTTGTAAGCAACAACAACGGGAATGAATCAAATTATATATATAAGCCGAAACAAAAACAAAACTTGTGCTTGTAAGTAATGAACCAAATATATAGTAGTAGTAGATAATAAATTATAGTTATATACTACAATTGTTATAGTTGTGAATGTAAGTCTTGTAGTAAACTCTAGTCCTCGACACTAAAATTAAAGAATTAAAGCTTCAAAAAGATTAACATCAATCAAATTAATGAGAGAAATCTTATATTTTAGTTTGGTTTAGTTTAGTGTAAGTTGGTTTTGATTTGTTATTTAAAAAAAATAAGAAATTATTTCATTTTTAGATTAGTTCAGTTTCATTCGGTTTTATGATTTCGGTTCGGTTCGGTTCAGTTTAATACGGGTTGGGAGGAATACTACCAAACTCAAACCAAATTACAAATGGTTCGGTTTCGGTTTGGTTTAATTCGGTTTGGTACGATTCGGTTCGGTTAAACTGAACCGTTATGTCCACCCCTAATACCAATACATTTCATCTTTTATCTTTCTTTCAGATCTCGAATTGATAAAATCTCATAATTAAAATAGTGTTTTGGCAATTTACCCTCTAAGTTGTAGTAGAAATGCTAAGCTCGGCCTATTAGGATGTTTTTACTTGGACTGAAATTTTTTGGTCTGTTTTGGTCTGAAGTGGTCTAGTTTGGTCTGGTTTAGTAAATGTATGGTTTCCGTATAATTTATAACTGCCCAACCCTGATCTGATCCGGTCCGAAAATGAAAACAATCCAAGAAAAAGCATACTAGAGTTTAGAGCTCTCAGCCTCCATTAATGGACGATAAACACCATTCAAATTCCTAACCAAAATACCCGACCTTCATTAAGAATTTACAATTTTATACGGAGTACTTCGTAATATGTATGAATTGATTTTATCTGCTCCATGAAAGGCTGTGATGCAATTAACGAAGACGAGGAGCCCTCCTGCTGCGAATGGTCATGTCACGTACCAGTTTAGTGTTTAAAGGCTGGAGGTGTTGACCCGGTCAACAAGAGTGTGCTCTCACTTTTGGCCTTTACTCCAAATATATATGTTTGTGGCCGAGGAAGAGCATTTGTGGACGAGTTCGTAACTGTCAGGCGCGCCCCACCATTGCTGCCCGAGCTGAATAAATTCAAAGAGATAAGTTCTTCCATTAGTCTTAGGGAGTCACTAGAGTTTAGTGGTGCTTGGGTGAGTCACTATGGGATTTTTATGGAATATGGTTATTTGCGCATCAACCAAATCACATCACTTAAAAACTGTAGTATGTACATCATACTGTCATCATGTCCATATATTTGCCCGCATATATTGTTAAGTTTTGCAAATATCAAATAATTATCCACATATAATATCGTGTGTGGGTAATACGTTTTACTTACAGAGTTTCACCCACAAATCTATACCTATTATATGTGCGGGTAAATATCATTTCCGACATATAACTATACTTTTACCAACACATGTGTGTGAGAAAGAACCCTATTTTCTTGTAGTGATATATAAAGAAATTTGTCACGCGCTAATACTCTTCTTTTCTGGGTTCATGTACTCTTGTGACATAAAAAATGGACTTTTGGAATTCATGCTCCAACCATTAAAAATGTCCACACCCCTCATATCATGGAAACAATGATGTGTGTGGCATTTTCGATGCTCTCAATCTAAATGTCAACAATCATACATTCTTAATTAATAGCACATTTGTGTACGGATTGTGCACTCCTTTCTCTAATGAGTGTCTCACACTTCGACCTCAAGGGTGGGGTGGATGGGGAAAGGTCATCCTTTCGAAGCGTACGACTTGCATGGCGAGTTCAAAATATATAGAAACATCAAGTGGGGAGTCGAGCTCTATCTTGGAGTTAAGTGTCATTGTACAAAGCTATAATGTCACTTAGACGACAACACATTCTCAAGCTTTGTACTTTGCGCGAGTAGCGTGCTCTCATCTCCAATGAGGCCTCACATACTTATGCAGGGAATTCCTTGCGAATCGTTCGATCGACTCATGGTTTCAAACTTTATTTAGCCCTCTAGGGGTGAGTTGAGCTCTAACTATAAGAAGTGAGCTCAGTGCTCCTCTAATTAACAAGCAATGAGCTCTTAATCTAGATGATTAATGAGATCTGAGCTCTAAAGAATAACCATCTTCTTTAAATTTATGTAGGTGCAGTTAAGATCACTAGCGATGACACTCAAACTAAGCTATAGAGGTTGAGGCTGATGCCTAAGAGGTCAAGGCTAAAGAGCTAGACCAAGACAGAGGAATGCGTGTATAAGGAGTTAAGGATGTAACTTGACTTGGGGAGGAGTCGTCGAGGGTGGTACTAGCTTACTCCCTTTACCCTTTTCTTCACTTGCCTCAAGGATGTGGGACTGAAAAATGGGGGGCTTGTCGTCTCCAAGGAGGCGAATTAAAGGATGAGCTTGCAAAAATAAGGATCAGAGGCCAAAGTTGGTAAACGGGGAACAAGGTTACATTGTGACTGAGTGGACGAGATGTAGGCTAAATGGATGAGCCGAGATTGAATGGACGAGGGTGAGGTTGAGACTGAATGGACGAAGGTGAGGCTAAGGCTGAATGGACGAGGTATAGCTAGAAAAGGCCAACTCTGAGACGACAACATTTGATTACATTCTTGATAGAGTATATCTAGAGAGAAGTGAGAGCTAGAGAGAGAAGTGCAATAATATGCTTCAATAGAATGATTTTGTAACCCCTATAACTACTCCCAAGGGGAGTATTTATAGAGAAAATACGGGCTGGGCTCCCAAGCCTTGGGCTCCCAAGCCTTGGGCTCCCAAGCCTTGGGCTTGGGAGGCCCATTTACAACTGGACCGCTACTGGGCCGAATACAAAGCCACTAATGGGCTGTACAAATGAGTAAGTGTAGAATCCGGTTCTGTGAGGTCTTCGTGGCCGACGAGGGCGTGGCCGACGAGGGCACGACCGACGAGGGCGCGGCCGACGAGGGCACCCGGGTTCCTTGGCTTCAGGACCATATTCTGAGTTGGCACCTTCTCGGCCGACGGGGGTCCCATGGCCGACGTGGGCGCCACTCGGTGTCTTGTGCTTTCTATTCTTCTGAGTATGTGGGTCCGGGGGCTCAGACCCATATACTCCATACGGAGTCCCCCACTCTCTAAGCTGAGACGTAGACGAAGTGAAGGAGAGTAGATTCCCGTGCTTTGGTGCTTTTGGCCGATGCGGGCACTCCCGGGCCATTAGCTGTTGCGGCGTTGGCGCTGTTTCCATCTTGGTAATCTTGTGCTTGGCCGTTACCTGCTCCTCGCTCTGGGCGGGGAGGCCGTTGTTTCCTTGGTGTGTTCGTTTGGGGACGATGGGAGTCCTGCTTCGATGGTGGCCGTTGAAGGCACATTTTCCCTTTCTTGGACGTTGATGGTTGAGGTTGAACCTTGCATTGAGGACGATGGTGTCCTTTCCTTTGGGTGGCCGGTAAGGGTGCTTGCGCACTCTTTTTGGCCGTCGCTGACTGGCTTTCGTGTCCCTGGCCGAAGAGCCCATTATGGTTAACTGTTGGCAGAGGACGATGAATGTCCTTGCCTTAGGTGGCCTGTTGGCCGTTGCTGATGATGTTATGTGCCTTTGGCCGACGAGGCGCCGTTGTGATACATGGACGATGTGGCCATGCTTTGTGGTTACATTCGTGTTTGTATTTTTCCTTTTGTTTTGTTAAGGCCGATGTAGTCCCCCAGTCCCCCACTGCTTCAGGCCGAAGAGAGTGAGGGGTGAAGGAGTTGCTTGAGTCCCTGGCCGAAGCGGCCTCTCCGTAGTCCCCCTGAATCCAACCCTCATGGCGATTTTCTGGCCAAGGTAACCCTGTGGGAGAACCCTTGTGCGCAGATCGCTTGTAGAGAGTCATCATCAAGGGTCGTTACGGAGAGCCGATGGGCGTTCATGACGTTCCTGGCCGTTGTCATCTCCTTATTGTTGGCATTTGTGAACTTGGCAAGCAAATAGGCCGTTGTGGGCGCTTGCTGGCACTTGTGAAGCCGGCAAGTGTATAGGCCGTAGACTCTGACTTGCCAGTGGGCTCTTGATATGTAGGTTGGGCTTGGCCCATTGGTGACGTGGTGGCCTCCCATTGGTGGCCGTTGATGTGGCCATTGGGAGGGTGCCACGTGTAGTGACCGTTGGGTGGGGGTTCTATAAATACCCCTCCCCCTCCGACGAGAAACCTCATTTGCAATCTGAGTTGTCGAAGTGCTGGCCAAATTTCTAGAGAGATAAACTCCCAAGCTCGTGTTCTTCGTGTTCTTCGTGTTCAAGGTTAGTGTTCATCACAATCTTCTGTACTTTGCATACTTTGCTTCCTAGGCTAGTGATCTAGTGTTAGGCGCTTGAACACCCTTAGATCCTAAGTTATTCCCCTTAGGCTCGTAGTAGTTGTTATGATGAAGAGCTTAGACGAAGAGTACTATCCGTACGACGACCAGCCCTCCACTAGGTCACTCGACTATGAGGTGCTTGAGGAGTTCGAGGAAGAGATTCAGCGTTTAAGTCCTTACAAGTCCGGAGAGCCGGTGGACGACGAAGGTGAGGACGAGGAGTCCGCCTCATCTTCAAAAGGTGAGGACGCAGGTGCGTCCCGAGTGGTGGACGGGGCGTCCACTTCAGCTGTTATCCCGTGCCCGAGACCGGTGTCTGCCGTGAAGGGAGCAGATAAGCCGAAGAGAATAAGGAGGCCGAAGAGCGGGCTGGGCGTTTCCTACCTGGATCTCACAAATATTTTCTTGATCAAGCCGGAGAGCAGCGCGGCTGACTACTTGGTTGCCCAGATGTACGTGGGGCCGTTCGGGCGGGTTAGGGCACCCAGGCCGACGGACCATGTACTTCATCCGCCACCGGGATACTTTGGAGTATACCCGATGAGTTTCGCCAAGGGGCTGAGGTTTCCCCTTCATCCCTTCATCACCGAATATCTTGACATGGTGGGTCTCCCTCCGGCCTTGCTGACGCCGAACAGCTACGTATTGATGGTGGGGTTCTTGCTCCGCTGTGAGGAGCTGGGCTACAGGCCGACGACGGCTCTGTTCATGAATCTGTACCAGATAGGCCGAGGAAGCCACAAAAACTGTGCGGCCTATGCTACCCTCCAACAGCTGCCGAAGAAGAGGAGCTTCACGGATTTGCCTTCGTCCATCCATGGATGGAAGAGCAAGTTCGTTTTTGTATCCCTTGGTGAGAACGGCACCGAGTTTCCCTCTCTCGGCCATACCGGGAGGTTCAATCTGCACGACCCGCCGAGGAGTTCTATCTTGGACGCTCAGGTGGAGGCGTTCTTGGAAGGGGGCCGAGGAGCGTGAAGGATTACATCACCGAATACAAGATGACCGCCCTCGGCTTCTTAAGATACTATGTGTATGGCGACAAGGAGGACGATGTCCAACTTTGGCCGAGGATGACCACCACCTTCGAAGAGGCCGACGGCCCGGATTTGGGCATTCCTGCTGAGGCCGATGGTAATTCTTTCTTCGGCTTTCTTCCTTTGTTATTCGTTCTTTTGCCTTGCTAATCTGTTCGTTTTCCTTTGTGTAGATTTTGTCATGGATCGCCGTTCAATCATGGCTATAGCCAAGGCCAAGGCGGCCGAGGAGTTGGCTGCAAAGGCGGCCGAGGCGGCTAGATGTGCCGCGGCCGAGGGGGGCGGGGCTACTGCTGGTGCGGCCCCGAAGCCTGCCAAATCCAAGAAGAAGAGGCCTCCCACTGACGGCCAGAAGAAATTGACCGAGGCTGGCCTGAATGTCACTAAGAAGACGAAGAGGGCACCGTCTCCTTCCCATGCCGATGAGGTCGGTACTCTGACCGTCCCAAGTGTGGACGATAGTGGTCCCGTTGTGGATCTTACTGCTGCTCCAAGCGATGCTGCCCAATCGCTCCCTCTCGTCCAGGAGCCACGGACGAAGAGGGCCGGCAAGGAGATTGCCGCTGCGACCTACCAGAAGATGGTGGAATACCCCGTCGGCGGGGGTGTTTTTGACGATGTCGTCCTCGGCCACGATGTGCTGGCCCAGGCCATGCCGACTAAAGATCGGGCCTACCTCAAGAGGCTCGGGGACGTGAAGGTGTACGAAGGCGGGATGGACCTCCTCGTCCAAGTAAGTTCCCTTCCTTCTTATTTGTCTCTTTTCTCGTCGTCCGGGTGGAATCATTTGTCTGAGTCTTTGTTTGCCTTTTTTGTGCAGGGTGCCTTCATGCTCATGGAGAGCCACAAGAGGCAGCACCGGGAGATTGCTCGTCTGAGGGAGCTTGAGCAGAAGGCTGCCTCGGCCGATGAGGCGGTAGCCTGCTTGGATCGGCTCCGGGAGGATGCCAAGGCCTTGCAACAGAGGGCCGACGAGGCCGCTGCAGCCAGGGACGATGCCCTAGCCAAACTCGAGGAGAGCCAAAGGGCGCTTGAGGCTGAACGGCGCAAAAATGATGAAGCCGTGAAGGCAAAAGCTGAGGCCGAGGCTGCCGCTGTGAAGGCCGCTGATGAGGCCGTTAAGCAGTTCTTGGCCGAGGGGTGGAAGGCCGATGAGCGGCTCTCCTGGTGTTATGAAGTGGTGTCCGCCAAGCTTGAAGATTGGGGAATGAACTCCCCCGCCGGCCAGGAGTACTTTAGCAGGGAGATGGCCGTGTATTACAACATGGGCCAAGAGCGGATGCAGAGGCTCCTGTGTCGGCGGCTATCGCGTGCCCTCAAAGCCATGAATTATACCTCCGGGTGGGCTAGGCGGAACTTGAAGCTGCCCAAGCTGATGAAAGATCCCGAGGAGCAGGCCAAACTTCCTCTTTCGGAGCGGGAGCCCCCAATCGAGAGTTCCGGCCTCGGCGAGCCGGATTACACGGAGTTTGACTTCCTGGATGATGCCACCAGTTCTGCAGCTGATGTCGTCCAGGAGACTGAGGCCGAGGAGGGAGCTGAAGATGTCGAAGAGCCAGCCGAGGATGGAGGCGCCCAAGGGACTTGATCGGCTACTCCCCGCTCCCTATCATGTAATTAATTTTCTATTTTTTTTTGCCCATCTGATGTAATGGCCGAAGCGCCCACCAATGTACTTAATTGTTTTATGAATGAACGTCTTGCTGTTCTGCTCGGCTTTGAATGTCTTGCATGTTTATTCCCTTTTGCTATTTCAATTTTGAATTTTGTCTAAGTGTAAAAGTTACTACTTAGGCCACCCGCAAGTGTCTGCTACGTCCGTGAGGTAGGCCATTCAGTCTGGTGGCCTGGTCGGTATTTCTTCGCTGTTGTAACACTTGGGATTTATTCAAAAATTTTTTAAGTGTTTTAGATCCACATAGCTAGGGTTTGTCTTAGTGTCTTTCTTTCCGTCCTGACTGAGGCGTGCAAGCTGAGGTGTCCGCTGCGTCTTGGCGGTGTCCCATTCTTCTTTTTTGTTAGAATTTTCCTAAGTGTCCAACTTCAAGTAGATGGGTGTTCTCATCGTCCTGGTATTGAATCTCTCAGTGTTGACCAATGTCGTTGTCGTCGGCCGTGCCCTCCTGTTGTGGCCGATAAGGGTACCTTGAACTTAGTTTTTGGACTTGGAAATTTTTCTAAGTACACATGCAAGTCACAGGTAGCTAACGGCCTGCGGGTGTACAGGTGCCCGCCTCGTCTAGAGTTTCTTCATACGAATACTTAGAAAATTTTCTAAGTATAAATGCCAGACAGTTTCTTCTTTGGGGTACCGTTGTCGGCTAAGAGGTGGTCCTACCTTCATCGGCCAAGGCCTGGCTTTGTGGCCGATGAGGCTGCCTTTTGCTTTCCCCAATGGTTGCTCTAAGTGTCGGAATCCTCTTAAGGAACCTTTTTCCCTAGAATTTTCTCCAAGTGTTACACTTGGACAAATGCCCAAAGAACTTTCGATTGACCAACAGTCTGGGTTTCAGTGCCTGTATCGGCCATCCGGGATGCTGTGGCCAGTAGGGATTGTTCCTTGATTGCTTGATTCTTACGCGGATGTGATACTGCTCGCTTCGTCCCGATCATTGTCAGGATTGATACTGCCCGCTTCGTCCTGGTCATCTTTCAGGATTGTAATTCCTTTTTTTTTCTTACCAAGTGTTGATGCTTCAAAGAGCTGTGGCCGATGAAGGTTGCCATTCGCGTGTCACCCAACCACTGGTTAGGGTTTTATAGGCGTGTGCTTCGTCCTTGACGATGCCCTTGTCTGTGGTGGACGTGTGGCTATATCGTCCATGTCACCTGTTAGTGGTACTACATTTGTGTTTAACTGATATGTACTTAGCCAAGTTTGGCCGGGGTTGTAGGGATTTTATTTTTCCATTGCTCGAGGCCGGCAAGGGCGCACGCTCCTCGGCTTCCCTTTTTTTTCGTTCCCTATTTCAGGGGAGTATCCTTCTTTCAGGCTTCGGCCGAAGGGTGTGCTCGTCCTTCGGTCGGTTCGGACTTCGTTTATAACGTCCGTGGTCTCAGGGCGGGTCCCGTCGCCTGTTTATGACGCGGGCTAGACTTTTGGTCGGTTTCCAACGGCTGTCGTTGCCCATCCCTGAGTTTTGGGATTTTGTCACCTCGGCCATGATTTCAGGCCTGTCGTCCTGCGATCTGGCGCGTGGACGACGCGGTGAGCTTCCCGTTTCAAGACGTAGGCCGTTTGCGGGCCCCTCGTCCTGGGGACATCGTCGGCCATACCCGAGTGTTTCACTCTAGGCTTACGGGGCCAGGACGATGTGCTCTCTCAGCTAGGCCTGAGCCCTTTGCTGATACAAAATACAATGGAGTACCTGGGCTTGTTGCTTCGCAGGTTGCAAATGCGAGGTGCCATATCGGCCATACCTGAGTCTTTCGCTCTGAGGTGGCCGATGAGGGCACCTGCTAATTTTTTACTTTAATTCCAGAGAAAAAATCAAGAGGAACATGATTTTATTCATAAGTGGCTCGAGGCCGAGGGTGGCGTTCAATCAGTAACCCGTTAAGGGGTGAGGGCTTCGCCGTCTGCACCTCCTTCGGATTACTGATAAAACTTCACCAGATGGTGTACATTCCACGTTCGTGGTACATTGGACCCATTCGGGTGTTTAAGCTTGTAGGTGCCGGGTTTGACCACGGCACTGACGATGTAGGGCCCTTCGTACTTCAATGCTAGCTTGCCACCCTCTGTCGGTTGGCTTGCTTCCCTTCGACGGAGGACGTAGTCCCCCACTTGAAATTCCCGGGAACGTACCTTGGCGTCATAGTATGATTTCACTTGACGCAGGTAGTTCTCCGCTCGGACGTAAGCTTGCTCACGTCTCTCGTCGACCAGGTGCAGGTCAATCTTCATGTTTTCTTCGTTAGCGTCAGGCTCGTATTGTTCCACCCGTCGGCTAGGGATGGCAACTTCCGTGGGTGCCTTTGCCTCAAAGCCGTAGCACAGGGCGAAAGGCGTCTCACCTGTCGCCCTCCTCGGCGTGGTTCTGTAGCACCACAGGATGTTGGGGAGCTCGTCGACCCAACTACCCCCTGCGGCCTGGAGTTTCTTCTTCAGCCCCTCCATGATTGTCCTGTTGGCGTTCTCGACCTACCCGTTGCCCTGAGGGTAGGCAACATAGGAGAAACGATGCTTCACCCCCAAACTCCCGGAGGAGCTCCTGGAAAGGGGCTGCCTCGAATTGGGTGCCGTTGTCTGATATAATCTCCTGGGGGACGCCGAAGCGTGTGATGATGTTCTTGTAAACAAATTTTTGGCATCTGACCCCCGTGATGCTGGCCAGGGGTTCCGCCTCGACCCACTTGGTGAAGTAGTCGACGGCGACGATGATGTAGCGGTTGTTCCCGGCGGCTCTGGGCAGGGGGCCGACCAAGTCAATCCCCCATCTAGAGAATGAAATTGCGGTGCTGACGGGGGCGTAGCTGACGGCTGGTCGACCTGGGGCCTTCTGGAGTACCTGGCATGCGGTGCACTTCCTGACCAGGTCCGCACAATCTCGCGCCATCGTCGACCAGAAAAAGCCCTGGACGACGAGGCGTCGGGACATGCTGAAAGGGCCCTGGTGCGAGGAGCAGACGCCACAATGAACTTCTTCCATGGCCACGTCGGCCTCATCCTGGTGCAGGCATCGGAGGAGAGTGCCATTATAGGAACTTTTGTAGAGTTTGCCATCTTCAATGGTGTAGCTTGGGGCCCTGAGTTTGGCAAGTTTGGCCCTCTCCTCGTCCGGGGGTAGCTCCCCCGTCGTGATGAAGGTGACGATGTCGGAGATCCGGTCCTCTGGTCGCTGTTGGATGCATAAGATGGGATTGGCATGAATGCTAGACATGCTCAGCTCTTCGATGTTGGCTATCCTGGAGATGTGCTCTGGAGTGTCTGAGCTGAGCTTGGAGAGGGTGTCGGCTTCGGCGTTCTCGGCCCTTGGGATCTGAGTGATCTCGTGGGTTTCAAACGCTTTCAGTAACTCCTCTGCTGCCTGTTTGTACTGTCGCATCCGTCCCTCCTTTGCTTCGTACGATCCCTCCACCTGGCCCACTACCAGTTTGGAGTCGCACTTGATTTTGAGGTGCTTGGCCTTGAGGCCGGCGGCGAGTCTGAGACCGCTGAGGAGGGCCTCATATTCGGCTTCGTTGTTGGATACCCTGAAGTTGAAGTGGATGACATAGTAAGCTCTGAATCCTTCAAGGGATATGAGGACGACGCCGCCACCGCATGATTTCGCGGCCGACGAGCCGTCAGTGAATAGGATCCATGTATCGTCCGGCTCCGGCCCGGGGTTGGCGACGGCCGTCTCTCTTGTTGTGCATTCAGTGACGAAGTCGGCCAAGACTTGCCCTTTGATAGATGGCCTTGGCTTGATCTCAATTTGAAATTGGCTGAGGAAGATCGACCATTTCACCATCCTGGAGGAGCTGGTGGGGCTCCTCATGAGTGCGCCGAGAGGCTGTTGGGTCAGCACATGGACGGCATGGGCCTGGAAGTAGTGTCCCAGCTTCTTCACCGTATGGACGATGGCCAACACCGTCTTCTCGATGGGGGAGTACCTGAGCTCGGCCTCCCTGAGTGTCTTGCTGATGTAGAAGATGGCCTTTAGCACCCCTTCGTCCTCACGGATGAGCACGGAGCTGATGGCCGACGTGCTCACCCCTAAGTACAAGAAAAGGGTTTCACCGGCTTTAGGCTTAGAGAGTACGGGCGGGGACGATAGGTACCTCTTCAACTCTTCGAACGCTTCCTGGCACTCCGTCGTCCACTTGAAGCTGTTGGCTTTACGCATGATCTGAAAGAAGGGGAGTGCCCTCTCGGCTGACCTGGAGAGGAACCGTTTCAGGGCCGCCAGGCGCCCCGTCAGTCGCTGTACTTCCTTGACGTTGCGGGGCGGCTCCATGTTGATGATAGCTTGTGTCTTCTCCGGGTTTATCTCGATGCCTCTCCGGCTGACCATGTAGCCGAGGAACTTGCCGCCCTGGACGCCGAAGGCGCACTTCTTGGGGTTGAGGCGGAGCCTGAACTCCTTCATGATTTCAAAGATTTCCCGGAGGTCGTCGGCGTGGGAGGAGGCCTGCCTGCTCTTGACGATCATATCGTCGACGTATGCCTCCATCGTCCGGCCAAGGACCACCCTGAAGATCTTGACCACCATCCTAGTATAGGTGGCGCCGGAGTTTTTGAGTCCGAAGGCCATGACGAGGTAGCAAAAGATTCCCTTTGGGGTCATGAATGCCGTCTTTTCAGCGTCATCTTCATGCATGGAGATTTGGTGGTACCCTCTGAAAGCGTCAAGGAACGAGATCAACTCGCACCCCGCCGTCTCGTCCACCAGCTGATCAATGTTGGGGAGAGGGAACGGGTCCATGGGGCACGCCTTGTTCAGGTCAGTGTAATCAACACACATTCTGAATGTTGGCGGTTTCTGGGTGAGGACGACGTTGGCCAACCACGTCGGGTACTTCACCTCTTTAATGTGTTTGATTGAGAGGAGCATGGCGACCTCCCCTTTGACGAAGTCCCGCCTGTCGGCGGAAAAGTAGCGCCGCTTCTGCTTGACGGGCGTGGAGGCCGGATCGACGGTCAGCCGGTGAGTAATCACCTGGCGGCTGATGCCTGGCATGTCGTCGGGGCCCCACGCGAAGACAACGACGTATGACCACAGGACGAGGAGGATGGCGTCTCGTTGGTCCTGGGGGAGCTGCTTCCCGATTCTGAGGACCCGCTCCGGCCGGGAGGTATTCAGAGGGACCTCCTCGACCTCCTCGGCCGGTTCGGCATGCGGCCTCTCCTCGTCCTTGGCAACGGCTGCCGTGATGGTGTCTATCCTCCGTCCTTCCCTTTCGGCCGGCCTTGTTAGCTTGAGGTAGCATGCTCTGGCTATCCTCTGGTTTCCTCTGGCGTAGCCGATGCCGTCATTGGTGGGGAACTTTAGGCACACGTGCTTCATGGAGATGATGGCCTCCAAGTCCTCCAGCGCTGGCCGTCCCAAGATCAGGTTGTGGGTGCACTGGAGGTTGACCACCATGAACTCCATGTCAATCCTGGCGCGGTGGGGGCCGTCACCGACCTCCACGGGGAGGACTATCGTGCCCTCGGCGTCGATAGAGTCCCCGGTGAAGCCGGATAACGGTGTCTTGATCGGCTTCAGCAGAGCTCTGTCCAGCTTCAGCTGCCGGAAGGTATCCAGGTACATCACGTTGACGGAACTCCCCGTATCGATGTAAGTGCGGTGGATGATGGAGTCACCGATCTCACACCGGATGACGAGGGCGTCCCTGTGTGATTCCGTCCCCGGAGGCAAATCCTTGTCGGTGAAGGTGATCGCCTCCGTTCGCTGCTTCTTCGGCTGGGGGGGAACGTGGGACACCTCCCCAATGTAGAGGGATTGGGCCCGTTTCTTTCTCTCAGTGGTGGAGTCCCCCAGTGTTCCCACCTACGATGAGGTGAATGTGATTCTTCTTTGGCGGGGGCTCTTCGAAGTCCTCGTCGTCGCTGAGCCTACCAATCTCCCGCTTCTTCGCAGAGGGTTCGCCCCCATGTTTGCCGGTGTTTACCCATGTGTTTTTGCGTGGGACACCTTTAACAAACTGGGAGAGTTCCCCCTGGCGAATAAGACGCTCGATGGCCTTCTTCAGTGTGATGCAATCATCGGTGTTGTGCGACGAGTTTTTGTGGAACCGGCAGTATGTGCTGCCCTGCTGGATGGCAAGGACCTCCTCGGCCGGCCGAGGAGCCTGCTCGATGAGGCCGTGCTTCTCGGCATAGTCGAGGATGATGCCGATCGGGTGAGTGAGGGCAACCCCCGGCCGTTCCAACCTCGGCCGCCAGTGGCGATCTTTCTTACTCTGTCCACCAGAGCCGTGACGGCCCTGGGCACCCTGGCCGGCCGGGGACGGACCTGGGGCCGGCGAAGGATTTGTCTTCTTGGAGGGATGGCCCCCCTCTTTCTTGTGATTGTGGAGCTCGTCGGCGTCGGCGTACAAGCCTCCGCGCTGGAGCGCCTTGGCGTACGACCTCGGAGGGTCGGTGATAAGGCTCCTAGCGTACGGGGAGCTGCGGAGGGCTCCCTGATACAAGGCGAGGAGGGTACGCTCATCGGCCCCCTCGACTTCTTCGGTCTCCCTCGTCCACCGATCAATGAATGATCGGAGGGACTCATCGTGCTGCTGCTTGACGACGAGGAGGTGGGTGAAATACTTCTTCGCCCGCTTCCTCCCGGCGAAGTGGGTGAGGAAGCGTTGGGCAGGATCCTGCCATGAGTCGATGCTCCCTTCGGGGAGCGCGTTGAACCACTCGTACGCTGGCCCCTCGAGAGTAGAGAGGAACCAACGGCAGAGGTATTCGTCTGACGCGTTCACCATCAGCATGTTGTTCTGATAACGGCTGAAGTGTTCCTGGGGGTCTGATCGGCCGTCGTAGGACTTGATGGCGTTTCCCCTGTACTTCTCCGGGATGGGGGCCGAGAGGACCCTGTTGGTGAAAGGGGTCCTGGTCCTGACCTGGATGATGGGGTCACCTCGCTCCTCAGCCAGCTCCCTCTCCAGGGCGCTAACCTTGTTCATGAGCGCGTTGAGGCTGGGGTCGTTGGAGGCGCCGGCCGTAGGGATGTTGGTCGACTGATTGGCCTCCATCTGAGCTAGCCTCCTTTCCAGCTGGGCAATGACTTCATCCTGGGGGTCCCTGGCGGCCGCAGCGGCGCCCGGTTGGTTCCTCATGCGCTCGTCGTGAGCCGCATTGATCCGGTGGCGCACGTCGTCCTCGTGCAACTTCCCTTTGCCCTTGTCCGGGCGGGGCTGGTCCGCTGTCCAGGACACAGACCCCAAGCTTTCCCTCGGCGATCCAGGACGAGGCTCACCAATCCGTCCTGCCATCCTCTCCGAAACCGGACGACGGCGTGTGTCACCTAGCCTGTTGAAGGCAGAGGCTTTTCCACGCGCTGGGGTCTGCCCAGGCCGAAGAGGGGAAACAGGGTGGGAGTGGGACGACGCCGTGTCCTGGGCCATCACCCCCTCATCATTGCCTATCTGGACGGCCAACGGTTGGGGCTGAGGAGGTGGAGTGACGTTCCCCCCGGTCCTTGGCAAGAGTGCGCTGAGGACGGTGGGGTTCTGAGCCAGGCTGGCGATGATGACCGACAGCGCGGCCTGGACCTGTGGATCCACGGACGGAGAGGCCGCGGCCATAGGCTGGGCCGGGGCGTGGTCCGTCTTCTCAGCTCGTTTCTTGTCCAAGCCGATGCGGGCATCAGGGGCTCCGCCGTTGAGTTGGTTGCGGAGGTCCGCCGTGAGGTTGAAGGCCTCCTGGAAGACGTCCCCTCCGCCGACCTGGTCGGCCGTGGCGTCCTCATCGTGCTCCCTGGCCTCTTGGTCCTCAGGGATGGCCTTGCTGACGAGGTTGCGGTTTGATTTAGTTCTTCCCATGATCAGTGGTTAGCTGTGCTTGGTAGCGACGAAGGGTGCTAACTTGATTGTTCTAGCTCTCAACGAGAGCACCAAATGATAGAGTATATCTAGAGAGAAGTGAGAGCTAGAGAGAGAAGTTCAATAATATGCTTCAATAGAATGATTTTGTAACCCCTATAACTACTCCCAAGGGGAGTATTTATAGAGAAAATACGGGTTGGGCTCCCAAGTCTTGGGCTTGGGAGGCCCATTTACAACTGGACCGCTACTGGGCCGAATACAAAGCCACTAATGGGTTGTACAAATGAGTAAGTGTAGAATCCGGTTCTGTGAGGTCTTCGTGGCCGACGAGGGCGTGGCCGACGAGGGCACGGTCGACGAGGGCGCGACCGACGAGGGCACCTGGGTTCCTTGGCTTAAGGACCATATTCTGTGTTGGCACCTTCTCGGCCGACGGGGATCCCATGGCCGACGTGGGCGCCACTCGGTGTCTTGTGCTTTCTGTTCTTCTGAGTATGTGGGTCCGGGGGCTCAGACCCATATACTCCATCAATTCTGTAGCTTCATTTTTCGATGCAAGTGTGCTTTTTTCTTCTTTAGAATTTCTTCCCATATGACTTTTTCCTAGTAGGAAAGGGAACTTGGCGCATCGGTTATACTGTATTGTGTGACTGAGAGGTCACGGGCTCAATCCTTGGGAGTGACTTATTTTCAAAATGACAAGGGAATGATTGTCTCTTATACATCTTTTGTACTGGTTGAACCCTTCCTCGGGCTCTCGCCTTACGGGGATGCTAATGTGAACCGATCTGCCATTTTAGATTTTTTTCCTAGTAAGGTTTTATCGAAACACCTCCTTATTCATATACTCCTACGTCCTAAACTGATTTAAAAAGTAATCATTTTTTGGTCAATCGATGTCAAAATTAAATCCTTCCTATTTATAAGTAATTCAACTTTAATAATTAAAATTTACATATTCAGAAAACTACATTAAAATCTTCATATATTTTTAAAATCCAAATTAGAATATAATTAAAAATTGATATCCTAATTAAGTGAATAAATTTGAACTCTATGATTAAAAAAGGATTAATTAGCATAATAGGAGTAAAACATTGAATATGTGCATAGGAGTTCAATGTTTGGTAGTAGTAAAAATATAATAATGGCTTGACTAAAATACCCTTAATGAAGTTACAGATTTATTTACATTTAAAAAATAGAAAAATATGTTAAAAACAAACCAAAATCCTAGCACTACCCCGCCTCCGATCTATTGTTCAGCAGCTATCCAGTGAGCCTAGTGTTGCCGCTGTCAGGCGAGTCCGCCATTGTCGTCTAGCGAATCTGATGTCATCGAAGTCCAGAAAATCCACCGTTGCAAGCCTCTGGCGAGTCCAGAGAGCTGCCACTGCCTCCAGGGAGCCTCCTCCGCCTCAAGGAGCCACCGCCGCCAACATCTTCCGTTGTCAAACTCTGGTAATGTTCATCTACACCCGCCGCCCTCCGGCAAGTGTTCACCACTTTGACTGTCTCCTCTGGCAAGATTCTCATCTTCATAAAAATGACATTATATATCCTATTAAAATAGTAATGACACTTGGTTATAAGAAAACATGGCATTTACAGGTCTGAAAACACAAGACATTCACATATACAACAATATGGCATTTCTAGATTAAAAAAATGGCATTTCATATGATAGGATGGCATTTCAAGAATAAAACTGATGGAACTAAAAATGAAAATGTAAAAAAGAGAAACTAAAACGAGAAAATTCAAGGTGATATTGTCACCCTGATATGATTATGCCATAGGTATTAGTTACAAAAGTGGCATTTCCTTATTCTATAACATGGCACTATAATTACAATACTATTATATTATTGTCGTATATCTTTATAAATGAAGAGAGTATAAGAATGGGAGTCTTTCGGCTTAGGAATTAAAAAGACATCAAGAATGAAGCAATGTGATTGGTGCACTTGTGGACTACTTCCTTCATCCTCGAGTGATGGGAGCCCAAATGCATGTATATAGTGATATAAGCCCGTTAGTGTAGAACTTCCACTCAAGACATTATATAAGCCCGTCAAGTCTTCTATATGTAGATCAAGGTTGTGTTGTATTGTAAAATAGACTAGACTAGATCTCTTTGTTGTTGATTCATTATGACTATGGTTACCCTTTTACTTTCTCTCTCTAGAATCATTGCTACTACTTCTCTCTATTCGGGTTTGAATAACTCATCAAATTTCATGCGTAGTATAAAAATATAATTATTAGTCGAAATAGAATATCGTTGACTATTTGGCTCTCAAAGACAAAGATATTAAAGTTAATTTTATGGGATGAAGGAAGTATCAAATTATTTAATTCACCAAATCACTTTTTCAAGCTAAAATCCCAATTAGGCAATTAGCATGACTAATTCAAAACGAAACCAAACATGTAGCTAATCTAGTTATTGCAACAAATTAAAGTAGCACTTAATTGAGTGTTAATTCGTGATAACATCATCAACTCATTAAAATAATTAAATATTACAAATAAATATTTTTCCTTGAATTCACGTAAATAGCTACGATTATGATGACAGGACAATACTATAATAGGTTAGAAATCTTTGATAAAAAAGCAACGATTATAATAATGAAGATATAAAAAATGAATGACGACTCAATCCAGATAAGTGTCAAGTCGTGAGTGGGTCACATTGAATTGTTAAATTACGATATTAATTAAGATTATCTGATCACGATATTCCTCCTATAAGGTTGTATTTTTAGAATAAAACCTCGAGTCTTCTCGAAAAACATAGTCAGCAGTTTGAAGATAATTTTTTGTTTTTTAAAAGTGGTAAAGTAAAAGTATTTTCTAATAATTCTCTAAATCTGGATAGCTGAATTGGTGAACATGTTTTCGTTTTCTGTGGTCTATTTTCTAGTTTTGTGGAAAAAACATAAAACTTGTCTCCTAGTCAACATCATGCCATATGCATATGGTTTCTAAGAATAGAAATTGCTCTAAATAGGACCAAAAACGTTTTGAAATTCCAAAATAAGAGTATCATGTTTTTTATTCCTTAAATATGAGTAATCTTCCAAGTTTGGAAAAAATTGTCATGTTTTAAGGTTAGTAATGCCAAACTTGACAAAAATTTACTCATATTCAAGGAATAAAAAACATGATAATCCTATTTTGGAATTTCAAAACTCTTTTACACTTCTTTAAGGAATGGAAGGAAACTAAATAGGCCTTGAGTCTTTACTTTTGTTCCATATTAAGAGTACAAATTTGTAGTATAAATCATCCAAACAGACGACTAACAGTTCTCAGATCATCAACATCACAATTCAAGCAATGGGTAGTTGCAATATTGATGAGACAAAGGTGCCAGTGATAGACTTTGAAGACTTTCCAGCACAATCCCAGAAGCTCATAGAGGCATGTGAGGAGTGGGGCTGCGCAAGAATTGTGAACTGCCACAGCATTCTGCCAGTTTCACTCATGTCAGAAATGAAACAAGTGGTGAGATCTCTGTTTGATCTTCCACAGGAGATCAAGGAGAGGAATAAGCACATTCTTCCCATAAGTGGCTATGTTCCTCCCAACGTGATCAACCCTTTTTATGAATCCATGGGGATGTATGATATGTCCTCTCCTCAAGATGTTGAAACCTTCTGTACTCAACTTGATGCCTCGCCTTCCCAAAGGTCTAACTTTCAATTCTTCCCTAATGGGTGATTTCAATTCCCTTTTCTTCCATAACTTTCTTCCCTAAGTTTTCGAATTTTTCACTATTCAGATATTCTCGTTCATTAAAATTTTGTCATCTTTTACTTTCCCACTAAATACATAACATACGGATTAGTATGTTAAACTTTGGCCAATGGTTTTGATTAATATCCTTCCACTTGTGCAAGTGAACGGTTTTAGATGTGAAAATATTTTTGATTAAGAGCATATACAAGTACGTAGTATATCATTTTCATATTACGGAGTATTATGAATATATTCGTACACAAATATACCAAGAAAATAAAGATTGATAAATTTTAAGTGACATAGGGAGTACTATAAATTCATACGGAGTATTTTGATTAAAACATATTACTATCTCCGTATACTCGAATATTTGCAACATTTTCCTTTTCTACCCGTAGCAAAATATTTACGACATTTTCTCTTTTTAGAAAGTTTTTTATTTAACAACTCCTTTTTCTACATTTTCATCTTTTCTTTGGGATTCATCATCATTCTCTCTTATGTTTTACACTTAATCTACGGTATTCACTACTCCTATTATTATACACTTCAACTTTGTGCAAAAGCCTATCCCAAACATTTGAATAAGGATGGAGTAAAAAAAGTTTTAAATAAGACTGTTATGTTTTTATTCCCTAAATAGAAGTAATCTCTGCCAAGTCATTATCATGATATGCTTTAAACGTGTCAGTTTCTGTCAATTGTTTTCCAAACTTGGCAGAAATCACTCATATTTTGGAAATAAAAATATGAAGGTCCTATTTTGAAATTTCAACGCGTTTTTATTTAATTCCTATTACTTCTTTACTTTATTTCTGTTACATTGTTAATGTATAGAGAGACAATGATGAAGTACACAAAAGCTGCACATGAAGTGATAATGGAGATTGGGAGAAAATTTGGAGAAGGGCTGGGTTTGACGAAAGGAGATGTGTTTGAAGGATGGGCTTCCCAGCTGAGAATCATAAAGTATCATTTCAGGCCGGAGAATATGGGGTCAACCGGACTAGCAACCCACACCGACGCCGCCGTGCTTACCCTACTGCACGACGACGAATGCGTGGGTGGACTGCAAGTCATGACCAAATCAGGAGAACTTGTGGCCGTTGATCCCTTGCCCGGGAGCGTCTTGCTCATCATCGGAGATGCGGCGGTTGTAAGTACTCTTATTTTTCCCACTATTGTATGAATAATGAATTCAACTTTGCTTGGTGTACACCAAATGTGTACACCTTTTATGTACACATGTCTCTCCCCAGCAGATAAGTTGTCTGTCTACCGACAACTCTACATTTTTCTAATGAATCGAATACATTCCCTCACCTCTGTTATATGGATATGTCCACAAGCTACAGGTTAAGTTAGGAGTGATGAATGCATGTTTTCAATACGTACTTGCATGCATGGGTAGTACCGTATGTAGTACAGTACGAACGTAGGTACATTTAGGTACGGAGCTAAGGGGTTAATGGGTGGGTATATGAGTGTGGAAGTTTTTTTAAGATATTGAAATTGATATAAATAATAATAATAATAATAATAATAACAATAACAAATTATATCAATAAATAGCTAAAATGGTCAAATATAATAACTTCAGTCAATTCAATCAAAAAAGTAACTATAACCTTAATTATTTTGATTACTACACAATTCAACGCATTAAATAAAAGTGACGTGTTTGATAAAAAGTTGACAAATAATTAAGACTTATAAGCTGAAAACAAGAGTTACTAAAAGGACATTAAACCAAGACAAAATTTACAAATAGGTCATGGAATCGTTATGTTTTATTGATGAATTGAAGTATGACTTATCATTTGATCTTTAAAGTATAAGACTTCCTCAACTAAGAATGAATTGAACGAGTGCTATTTTAGAAAGAAAATAATGGTGAAATTATTTGTGTACTTTTTCTATATTATAGTTCTATTTAAGTAATTTTCTAATGCTTTTGTGGAATAGTTTTCTAAATAAGAGTAAAATATAACATTTTTTCTTAAATAAGAGATTATTATTTGCTTCTCAAAATGTGACTCATTCACTTCTATTTAGAGAAATTATTTCTTATATTTTTGTAATACGATTTCATTAAATCCTATTTTAGGGAGAAGAAATTATTCCTTTTTAGAATTTTATCTATGCATTACTCTTATTTCAAACAATTTCTTCGTTTCTTTTTTGAATTGTCTTAACATTAGTTTTTTTTGTTTCTCTCCATAAAATTAGGTTAGAATCACACTTTCTTTCTTGGTAAGCTCTTTGTGATAAAAGACATCTTTACCCCTATGTACATGTCATCATTATTAATCAATGTATCCAGTTATCCACTATCTTTAAAGAAGGACATATTTGGAAAGTCAAACACAAAAAGTCTAAAAAATCATGAAGTCAAATCAGGTACATATTCAAGTAGGTTACGGTGACTCTCTACATATTTTATACTCCATACGTTATGTAGTGTGCCCTAAATTGATAGCCCCATTTTGAATTTTGAGGTTTGACTAGAGAGAAGGTAAAATTTTCCTTCATACGTAGTATAATGTAATCAGAATTGAAAAAAAAATGAATATATATATATATAAACTACATCAAAGATTCACAAAAACTGTGTTGATAAATAGTAAGCCAATACTACGGAGTATCATTTTGTATTATTAAATTTTTACCGCACCAAGGTAATTTTCTAGTTCCGCTAATCCATAAAATGTGCCTAAGTTAATGATGCATGGTTCATATTTTATACGCTATTTATCTATTTCTTCTTTGATTGATAATTTCTATTTCAAGATTTGGAGCAATGGAAAATTTCACAATGCAAAGCATAGGGTGGTCTGCAAGGACACGGACGCAGCTGATCGGTTTACTATAGCTTCATTCCTCCTGGGTCCAAACGAGGCTGCAATCGAAGCGCCACCGGAGCTTCTCGGGCCAGATCGGAAACGACTCTATGTTCCCGCCACATTCCATGAATTAAGGAAGATCCGTGTGGATAACAATTTGCATAACGGTGAAATTCTTGAGCTTGTGCGTGCTAAACCATAAGACTGCTACTATAGTACTAGCTGGTGGTGCTAAACCATATAGACTAATAGACTGCTACTATAGTACTGTCTGTCTTTCCAGTACATTCATGGGCCTGGTGTTGAATTTTTGCAAGAACATTAGCAGACAGCTTTTTCTGATATGACTAGCTATCCCTCATGTGATGTTATATATGAAGTTTTTGAAACTATATTTAGTACACATAAAGTAATAAGCTTTGCTGGATATAGCAGCATAGCACTCTTCTGTTAGACTCATACATGTGTCTTGAAGTAGATTGTTTTCTTGAAGAATAATACTGAAAGATGCACTGGTTGCATGAGGCCACTCAGTAAAAGAAAGATACTAACAAAGTAACAGTGCAGTGTTTGGTGTTCATCAGTACATGTCCTTTGTACACAGGCTTCACCATCCTTCTGGCAATTTTTGTCTCTCAAGTCAAGTACCAAACATGAAATGTCTGTGAAGAAAACTCAAAGACGAAGAGAATGTGTTATGTGTCATAGACACAAAAGATGTCTATCGCATTACTCGTTTGCGTGCACATAACATAGACAGATGTATGCGCAAAGTACAAAGACTAAAAGGCAAACCAATGTGTGGCAAAGATTAGTTTACAAATCAAAACCAAACTAGTATACACTTCCTAGTACAAAACACGATGTTTCGGAGACAAGACTTGTAACTGTGGTCTAGAACGTGCAATTGCTAGAGCACAGAGTTCCAAGAAAGTGCCCCTGCACCTCAGGGCAGATTGATTTGAATAATGAATAAGGAATAGAGATCTCTCTGTATTGAATGTGTTCCTGTTTACAGTGTCAAGAAGTAAGGATTTCTTAAACTGAAGTCTCATTTTTCACGACATTCTAAGACCAATCATTTTTATTCAGCTTGCTCGTGTTCATCTACTCAGGAGTCTTTAAATCAAGACTTGAATTTGAGTGTATAATAAGAGTTTAGAGTCAATTCTAAACCTGATATGTATTTAAATTGTATTCCTCGTCTCCATACTACTCTTCATCTTCATATACGCACTCTCATATATTTGATCCACCCACTGAAAGAGTATTATGTGTCTACTATTTGGATTGAGGCTATTCACTCAATAATTGGATGGAGACGTTGGAAAACAATTCATACCTAGGATCGAGAGTCATGGTCATAGACTCATAGTTGTCAATGACGAGATATGGCGTGTGCCATATGCGCCATGAAAAATGTTTGTGTAATGGCGATCCCCATGCACCATGACAAGCTTGGTCATTGTCAATCCCGTGTCCCAAATTATCAGTGAACGGTTAGGCAGCTCGGGCATTGATCAATGCTTAGTTGTCTATGTGAAGAGTTTACATGTTTTTCAAATGGATTTTCTTCACATACATGTTTACATTTGCATCATTTGCAATGGAACCAAATACTCACTATTTTGTTATGAAACAACCGTCAGTCCATGCAATTTCGACACGATTCTCATTATGGATCATCTGGAAACAGTCTCTCTGTGCTTTATTACAGGGTAAGACTCCATATATCCGACCAACCCCTACCCCACCGTAGGTGGGAGCCTTTGAGGTTGGGGTAATGATGATGATACATGTTTACAAATGTGTAAAAGCATCATTTTTTCAAGTAAATACCCTTCATTCGCCAGAAATGTTTCTTCACGCGCATAAACTTTTCATTTTTTAGACATTTGTTTCCGCGAAAAGAGATGCTGACAAAGGTTTCTCCTAACATCACATCATTCACAACATCAATATTTGTTACATGCATAGGTGAATATGTGATGAAACTAAGAGTAGCGACAAAAAAATCATACATTGCATTTCTACATGCACATGCATAGAAGCAGGAGACACCCCCATCTTTACTAGCGGGGCTTTGACGTGAGGCTCGTATGGAGCGTTCAGGCCCCACCACAAGAAGACTTATGCTTTAGCAGAGCTTATGTCTGGGGTTGATCATATCACTCACGTGGCCTTGCAAGCCAAAGAGAACTAAGAGCTCGGAGGCGAGAGGAATAGTCATGTATGACCAGAAGGGATCGTGCCGATTGCTGTGTTGTTAATATCCTGTGCAATTGCTGCAATATCTGTTGCCTCAACTTATCTGCCTGATAAATTAAATAAATGTCACACACAGAAATAAATTAAAAAAACGGTTCAAACATATGTCCTCATTAACAACAAAAACAAATGACACACTTATTAATCTTTCAGTTAATTAAGGTATGCATGTCTACTTGTGTAACCTTTGAGAAATGAAATTGTTTTTTTGGGCCCCATACTTTTCCCTTTGGCGGGGGAGGGGGGCTGCTACTCCAGTCTTTTTTTTGGGAGACATCTAATTAGCATATTAAGCCTGTGTTTGCCGGGAAAATAAACATTACACATCTTTCTTATCTTTTTTTTATCTTTCTTACGTTCTTCATCTTTTCATCCTTTTTCCCTTATAATTTTATCCCTTTTATTTTATCATTTTTATCTTTATCTTATCTTTTTCATCTTTTCTTATCTTTTTATCTTTTGTATCTTTTTTATCTTTTATAGCTCCGATTTCATGTAAGACTGCGTACATTCGACCTCTCCTTACCCCACCGTAGGGGGAGCCTTTGCGGCACTGGGGTAATGATGATGATGATAGTTCCGATTTCATGTGTCAATTCTTGTTAGCTGACCTCAAACTTTTTGGGATTAAGGCTTGGATGTTGTTGAATCATCCAAGTATCCAACATAGTAATTTTCTCCTGTTATTTTATCTAGTTTTATCAACTTGATGGAAAACGCAGAAAACTGGTATTTTGAAATATTGTTCCAGCTCACCTCCTTATGTATATGGGACAAATCGCATATAACCCAAAGTTACAGGCCAAAAATGAAATGTTTTCATAGTTAAAACATTATAAAGTTCAAAAAATATCCAGGTTGTCATTCAGTTAGAGATAATAATGAATCACATAAGTATTGGTAAGGATTAGAATACAAAGTTGTTACCTGGTGAACGAAACCTTCAAGAGTGCCTAATTTTCCCATGGCCACAGCCATTTGGCCCATGTAGTTAGCAACATTACCTCCTGATGAAGGGGCTGCTGAAGTTCCTTTAGCCAAAGTTTCAGCAAGAGATTGCTGCAATGCATCCAGTCCATGGGAAAGAGCATCTTCTGTGTCAATAGATGATTGCTGCAAGTTGTTTATGCCTTCTGTTTGCTGCTCCGTTAGAGGCTCCAAATGATTCACTAGAAGCTAGAGCCAGGAAGGAAGGCTCATCAAATGGATCCCATTCAGCAACATATGATCAGCAAAATAGCAGCTTATACACTACAGCAACTATATACTATTTCTTTCTATTTTAATATTAACTCTGTAGCCATTCTTGCTAGTTGGATTCTTAAGGGTCAGTCGGGAACCGGGAATGTACTAGTAAAGAGAATAAGAGTGGAAATAGAGGGGGGATTTTGAAAGAGAAAAATGTAAGGAGAGTTTTTCTTGAATATTACCTAAATAAAATATATGGATAAAAATGTGACTAAAGTTACTATGAGTATGCCGTCATGGTCATTATAGTGTAAGATTGAACATAATCATGGTCACTAGAGTTACTATTATAATCACTGAAGTATAAGAAGTCACATTTTTGTCGACTACCTTCACTTCAGTCATATATTCATCGTTGTTTCTTTACGTATATAAAGAACAGAGTATAACTTTAAGCATATGCTATAACAATTTTAAAAACATTAATCATATTTCAATACCCATAGCATTTTTTCTTACAGTAGCAATTTCCAGGATCTAAACATGCCCATTAGGTTCGTTTGGAACGCCAACGAGCTAGGGAAAGAAAATAAGAGGGAAAACTGATGCAAAATTCCAAAGAGAATCTGGGAATATATAAATTCTATGTTCAAATTTGAACTGAATAAACGCATTTAGATGTTTGCTCAAACTCATTTTATTTATTTACTTCTATTAGAACTAGATGAAAGACAAAAACCAAACAAACCTGATGCGCCCCACTGAGAAAATATATCTTTGAAATGTCTAAATGTGTAAATCTTTGAAATGTATTGACTATTGATCACAGGTGATTCTCCTTTGCACTTTATAGGTGAAAATAAAAAAATATTCAAGAAAATATTTTCGAAACACTTCATTTTTCCTTTCCTCACCATATTCATGTTTCAAAATAGCTTAAACAAGAGCAACTGGCAAAGATTTTTGGTAGGAATCTGGAAAAAGTTACTACTGTCGTTGCAGAATGCCAGAATGAAAAAAAAAACGCCCGTTCCAGCAGAAAAAGGCTAAGAACTTGACCGGTGAGCTGAGAAGTTAAATATTAGATGGGAGTAAACAGTGTGACATGTACCTTAAGAAGCTCAGAAGGACGAAAGCCACCGATCCACATAAAACACCGCTCGGCAGGTGTTTTCCACATCCCTGATAATACATGGAATACATCAGCTTTGGTTGCATTTACTTTCATCTTGAAAATTTCATCAAAGTGTGTCTTGACATTGTCACAAATTGTTCGGAGCTCAGTATCAGTTGCATGTGAATTGACAGCTGTCCTTAATTCATTAATACGTCTCTTATGCTCTTCCAACCACTGTCCATATTCTACATCAAATGCTAAAGCCCCTGCTGCTCAACAGCAATAACAAAAATGTTGTCATCCACCTAAAGGAAAATAGCCCTAACTGGCAAATAGAGCTCACCAATGAGAAATACTCCCTCTCGTCCTCACTACAAAGTTTTATTTTTTTCCCATTGTTTGTCCCCAATACATATAGTGTAAATGCTTATTTAAGAATACACATCATTTATTTACGAGACGTAATGTAGAAAGAGATTAAAATGAAATAATAATAATTATTACTATTATAACCACTTTCCCAGAATCCCTGGTACGCATAGTTAGGTCATTTGTTTACTGGACCCTTATAGTAAGGGTCCAGACTCCAGAGGGAGCATTTTTTATCTAGAAATTAACTTTTTAATTTTAGTCCACAACTATTAGGTCATTTTCACTTTTGGTGTATGACTTTGAATTCATTTCTAAGTTTGGTACTTTTACCGTCACCTATCCCGCAAAAATGAACAAGAAACTCCATGAAAGTAGGATGGATAAGTGGACAGTAGAGCAAAAAATGGCAAGGAATCCACAGTCGTGCACCAAAAGTGAAAAATGTGAGATTGGGGGTTAGAAGCGAGTGGCCTAATAGTCGTGGGATAAAAGTATAAAGTTTTCTTTTTAAAAAGTTAGCCAACTTTACATTTTCTATGTCTCTGCATGTTTATCAGTTTCTTCAGAGATTTGTCAAGTGTCATTGCATTTGAAGAGTCACGCTGTTCTACTCTGTCTCCTCGGCCTTTTAGAGAAATAGAGGCACTTTCAAAAGGTGTTTTAGTCTATGTATTCCACGAAGGCAGGCATACTTTGAAGATTATAAATTGGTCTCACATGATTTTTGGGGGCACGAGGAATTTAAGGCTTACCGTTAGTGCCTCCTCCATGAGATTGATTACCAACTTTGCTTGAAATGAATGTCCCCTTCATTAAATTAAAAGTTCAAAACTCAAAATGACTCAGGATAATATATCCAACAAACTGCTAGGAAAATAGAAAGGCCATCAAACCTGTTGACGTGACCGCTGAAGCTCTTGTTCTAATTGTGTTAACTTAATCCTACTATTCTCCAGCTGTTGTACATATGCCTAGTTTCCAGATTTGAGTTTAATATCACATAAGCACGATGGAGATAACTTTGGAAGGTGAAATAGGCTTAGGGTGAGTTTGTGATGACTTATTTTCCAGGAATAAGTGTTTTAAATGAAAAAAAAAGTGCTTTTACAGCTTTACTTGAGAAGAAGTGTTTAGCATGCAAAAAAAGAAAAAAGTCATTTTAACAGTTTGGTGAACACTTCGAAATTTAAATACTAGTTTCAAGGCATCAGCAGATTGGTGATGTTTATCAGAAAAACGATCGAAGTGTTTATAAAGCACTTATACCATAAGCAAATAGGTCCTTACTTTCTTCCTCAACCGGCTTTTACGTGCAGCTTCACGGTTTTGTGCAAGTCTTCTCAATGTCTGCAAACAATAGCCATATAATAATCGTGAGAAACTGGACTTCCTTTTTGCAATTCACCGTGAAAGCCAGAAAGTCTAAGGAATCTAACTAACCTTCTGATCCAAGTCTTTTCCTTTTGACTTGTCACTGGAATCGTACGCTATAACAGCCAAAGATTGACCACCGTTCTCAAGCTGAAAGAGTTGTTATATATACAAAAGAAAAACAATAACAATATAGCGTAAGTTAGAATGGAACACAAAATGGCTTATAGCAAAATATGATGTGTTTGGAAAGAAGAGAAGAAATAGAGGAAGAGGGAGTAATAAAAGAAGAGAAATAATATCCAATTAGAGAAGAAAGTTTTTAAAGTGGTTTGTTGTTATAAAAGGACATGAGTACATGACTATCGTTATACTAAGTTTACATTATTATTAGGAAGACCTTAGAATGGTAAATTGATCGCATTTTCCTTCATTTCTCATTAATTAAGAGTATGTTCCATTTCTTTGATATTTTCACTCTACCAAACCAAAGAAATGTGCAGGAACCCATGTTTTCCATTCGTTTATTTCATCTCCTCCTTTCCCTTCTATTTATTTTGCTACCAAGCACCAAACAGGTTTTGTGAAACTGTAGGCATTTTGGTTTCTAATCCAATGACATAACGTCTAGGGTATGTTTGGATCACCAAAAATGCAAAGCAAAATAAAAAAATGCTAGGGATGGTTATTTTCTTATATTTGGTTTTATCATGGAAAATGAAAAGGGAAATGGAAAATGGTTATTACTTGAAACCTTTTTCCATATATATAGATTTCTCGTCTTTATGGAAATAAATTAATACAATGAGTATGAACAGATAACTAAAGTGAATGTATTGAGTTTGAGCCGCTCAACATGTACTTTCCTCCCAAGTTTCCCTTCGGTTTTCCTCCTACTTTTCATTACCTAGTGTTTTCCGATTTTCAAACGGACCCCTAGACTTGAGAACTAATGAAAAAAAAGAAGCCCAAAATTATGAGGTGTGACAAAGATCAGATTACCCCTTGATTTCTATCATCTGCATCCATATCTGTAGAAGTATCAGTGCGAGAACAGGAATCGGCCATATGCGACTCTCCCCAATTCTCATTATGAGAACTGCCAGCTTGGTGTGACTGTACTGCTATTGTGCTTAAAGTAGCAAGATTCTGCACAGTAGTCAATGAAAACAAAGACTTCAAGTTGGTCAAAGGTCAACAAGTGTAATAATGATCGAGTAAGACCAGGAAACATTAACGAAAGCAATGACCACATTGACCTTGTTCAGTGCTCCAGACACATCAACAACACCCAATGATGGGTTTGTTCCAAATGTTGAGTTCGATAGGGGCCCTACATTATTCAGAAGTTCGATTTAGTCACTATAAAAGAAACTAACATAGATAAATAATAATGAGGAGTCATTACATAAGGTCATAAGCATTCAATTAAAGGGGCCGGAGAATGCCGAGATATTATTCAAGAAAAGTAAACTCAGATGTACAAAGTTCAGCCAAACTCCATTACATGCACGTTTCATTGCACCGTGAATTACAGATTCAATTTTTTCACTAAGAAAAAAACCTCCTTACAGCCGCACAGGTTATTTTTGTCAAATTATGCATATCTTCTCAAAGTTATTTCTCTCACTGTATGACGGGTGTGAATCTTTTACATTGTTAAAGTGCTCATTGCTAAGAATATTACTTCTTCGCTGGTACTATTCGACTTTTTGGTCTCCAGTTGCACATATTAAACTATCCAGAGCATTTGAAATTTTCACCTAAATATGTGTCAAAACAAGTTGTGGAAAACTGGAGAGTTCAATAAAAATCTAAAGGACGTCAAAAGATGCCAACTTTGAAACAAATAATGAAAAATTATCAATAATAATTAAAAAACAGCATATGAGATCAAAAGCATGTATATGGAAACATACTTTGACAGGCAATGGCACCATCTGCAGTACGATAATTAAGATGTTGTTCAAGCACCCCAAAGTCAGATATAAGAGGGTTATGTGTAGTGTTCCCTTCTGTTCCCCTGGAATCCAAAAAGGTCAAAGTTTCAACTTAATCAAATAGAAACAGCTGAATCCTTTTACTAGAAGGCATAAATTTAATAGCACATCAACATCTCTCTTGCCTGTCTTTTTTAATGGAATTTACTTTAGTGATTACTATTTTATTGTTACACGAGAAATTCAAAGACAAAAGTATAATTTTGTGCACAAGAAAACTAATACTACGTATCAAAATACAGAAGCAGGCATGAAGAGAGAAATTACATAGGATTGGAAGCTGGTTTTTGTGAAACGAAGCTTGGCATCCCAGTAGGGTTCCAGAATTTCCACAACCAAAAATCAAGAAAATCTCCTGTTGATTTTGAGCTGCAAGGCTTCCAGGTTCCAAAAGAGCAAATTTTACTGAATTTTTTTAAAAAATAACAATAAAATAGATAAAAACCCATGGGTATTCCGAACTACCAAACAGAAATTTCTGCCGATACAAAAAAAGAACTGCATAAAGCTAAACCCAGACTCCAATGCAGAACTATATATGAAACTTTTTGAACAAAGCATATCAAAAATCAAACTTTATGACAGATTGACAGTGAAAAATACCTAGATGGTGAAAGGATCAGGGAAGCATGAAACAGAGGTAAAACTAAATTCGTAAGGATAAGTGAGTCGTGTTCATATAAATGTCTCCTCTTTCTTCTCAAACTCAATATGCATTTCTTCGCACAAAGTTTCAGTTTCACGGACAGAGTACTTTTTTTCCTTTTCAGTCTTATTTTATTTTATTTGAAAATAGAAAGATGGGTATGGGATGACGTTCAGTCGTTCAGATGATGCCAACCAAAGGAAAACCAGACTGTCATCTTCGTTTGGAGCTTTTCTCTTCCACTGTTCAAAGCCAATTCCAATACCACCAGTCCACCAACCTATTATTTTTCTTTTGAATGGGACCAACCTATTTTTTTTATGTTTTTTAGTTATCATGAACTCTGAATGTTGCCAAAATATTGGGTGAACTATTATGGTTTCTACGAGGTTTGAACAATTTAATTTTGATGTCCCCATAATGCGTATGTGACATAATAGTTTATCGGTTTATTCCCATTCAAACGGAGTCCTATATATACCGAGTATTTCATAATGCTATGTGACAAGGGGCAATTTATATGTACACCCGAGTGGCGGAATATACATGTACACCCGGTTTATTTGAAAAATAGGCTTATATTGATAACACATCATTCAGATAGTGGGTAATCCGACAAAAAAAAATCATGACAACCGTTGTCTCGCGAATCAGGCTCAGAGTTAATCACCTCAAACGAATCGATATAACTCGTTGATCCATTAATGGGCACAAATGAGTCAAAGACGGTTACCCCAATCCTTTCATCCCCATATCCAAATCCAATGTCTTAGAGAATGGAACAACAAAAACAAAACAAAACACAAAGCAAACAAAATTGTCATAACAGAAAAAAATAAAGCTGATAAACTCGAGTTGTTGTCCGAGCTTGTCGAACTGCACGAGTACCTAAAACTTCTGCATTGGTTCTTGTATCAACTTAGGTGGACTTGCAAGTTGAAGTCCGTCCCCTCCCCGTTTTTTGTCCCATCAAGAGCAATGTCATCCTCCCCATTCTTAACTTCTCCATGTGCAACCCATATCTTTTGTTCCCCCATGTTTCTTCCTTTGCCTCAACTCCTAAGCCTTTAGTTATGCTCTGCTCTGAATCTGCAACAGACTCTTTCCTATCACCCTCCATCCTGTCATCAGACTTATTATCCCCCCCATACATGTGGTCTCTTCCAGAGCTCGATGAACCCTCCAGTATCCATTGGCTTCCTCCTGTAGGACTCGTCTCCCCCTCCCCCCCCCCCCCCCCCCCGCTACCTGCTCTAAGCTAGACCCCAAAATGTTTTTCCAGAACCAGATCTTCTTCTTAATTTAAATGGCAGAATTTATCTGAATGCCCAATTAAACCGCAAATAAAACAGAAGTTGGGCAACTTTTCGTATTTGAAGTCCACCCAATAGCTATTTCCTTCCTTCTTCAGATTAGTTCCTCTTTTCAGAGGTTTATCCACATTCATGCACACCTCGATTCTCATATAAGCCTCCCACTTCTCAATGTTTTTATTATCATCATATTTTATAAATTTTTCAATAAAATTCCCAACCCTCTTGACAGTACCTAAATTTACTAGGCTATATGGAAAATTATGAATTTGAACCCAAAAATCAGCCTCATTTAACACAATTTTATGGGGGATGTCATCACGCTTTACTTCTTTCAACAACAACAAATTGCTTTCAAATTGCCATGCGTGATGGGTCTGCCTCAAGCACACGATTCATATCCACACGATGATAAACGATAAAGAGATACATTTTTCCACCAACTTCTTTGATCGAAAGTCCTTTTCCCGACCTTCAAAGCGAAGCCATGAGCTCTTTGATAGCTGGAAATATGACCTTACGATCTGTCAAAAGCACTCCCAACACCGGAAATCCCAGTCTGCTCTCCTCCACCGATGTCTCCTCCTCATCGATTATGTCCAGATCCAGCTCTTCTTCCTCTGCCCCAATCGCCGTCTTCTTATACTTATCCACTACACCTTCCATTCAAACCATTGCCTTGTTTTCCTTCCAGATAGCCGTTGTTTAGCCTACCTACGCAGTAGCTTCCTATCGCAGCACCTACACATTACGAAAGCAGAAAATGACCTCCGGCGTAAAGCACATCTGCATGAAAACCCCTTATTCCGTCGAGACCTCCGCAAAATAGGCACCACAACTCACAAAACGAAGCTCCAAAGAACTCGAAGCTACCTTGGCAGAAGCTGACGGTGGACAAAACCTATGCGTTACCGGACGGTAACCCTAGAAAGAGAAATAGTATCTCTGAATCCCTTTGTTTAAACCCAGAAGTTTTTTTTTCTTTTTCTTTTTGTCTTAACACCCTTTTCCATTATTTTTTCCCTTTTACAAATCAACCTTCCTTTATAACTAAAATATTTCTTTAAATTGTGCATTATAAAATATTTTAGGTATCAATATTTTTTTCTTAGGGAAAAGTACATAAAATATACTTGTGTTTGGGCTCGTTTTCAGATAGGGTCATGTGTTTCATTTTTTATCAAAGTGGTTCATGTATTTGAATTCCGTATCACAAGAGGGTCACGCCGTTAAAAACGTCTGAGAAAGACGGTTAATAGTAACTCCGATTTTCAAAAGTGTCTGAAAAATTAAAAGAAAAATACCGGAAGCTACGCCTGAACCAAGGTTTTTGGTGAGCAATGTTTTTGATCCGTTAGCCGTGAACCAAGGTTATAGATTTGCAGCACTACCGTCATGTTTGGGAAACATGAAATTGCTAGCTCAAATTTACCCCATGAGGATATTCTCGTCTCCTTCTATAAAATTTCAAAGTGAATGTTCATTCTTATCTTGATGAATTATGAATTATTTCATTGTTTGATGCATTTGTATAAAAACTACTTATTATAAATAAATTTTCTTAATATTTCTCATTATAAAATATACTCATAATTGAGTAAAAGAATTAATCATATTAAGGCCATTTGCAAATAATACTTTTGAATGAGTTTTGTCTGATACTCAAATGAGTATAATGTTAACAGGAAATGTGTATTGATATAATGTTCTAAAATGAGTACTCATAGAGGTTATTAAAATGAATTGTGTGTTATACGATATTGAGTATACCGTTTAAAGTAAATGTGCATTGATGTAACATTAATGAACATTTGAGCACATTGGAGATTCGAAATGAGCTTTTGAATTTTTCGATGCTCATTTTGTAAATTGTGTATACTCATTCGGTTTTGGTTATATGCTCATTTTAAAATGACATGTACATTATATTAGATTCACATATTGAAATTCATAAGACTTGATTATAGATACTTCCTCCGTTCTTAAATAAATGCAACGGTCAACATTTCACACTTGCCGAGACACAACTTTGACCACTAATATAAATGATTTTTGATAGAGTATATCTAGAGAGAAGTGAGAGCTAGAGAGAGAAGTGCAATAATATGCTTCAATAGAATGATTTTGTAACCCCTATAACTACTCCCAAGGGGAGTATTTATAGAGAAAATTAGGGTTGGGCTCCCAAGCCTTGGGCTTGGGAGGCCCATTTACAACTGGACCGCTACTGGGCCGAATACAAAGCCTCTAATGGGTTGTACAAATGAGTAAGTATAGGACTTGATTCTGGGAGGTCTTCGAGGCCGACGAGGGCGTGGCCGACGAGGGCAAGGCCGACGAGGGCGCGGCCGACGAGGGCACCCGAGTCCCTTAGACTCAGGACCGTAATCCGAGTTGGCTTCTTCTCGGCCGACGGGGGCGTCTTGGCCGACGAGGGCGCCACTCTGTTGTCTTGTGCTTTCTGTTCTTCCGAGTATGTGGGTCCTGGGGCTCAGACCCATATACTCCATCAGGAGTCCCCCACTCTCTAAGCTGAGACGTAGACGAAGTGAAGGAGAGTAGATTTCTGTGCTTTGTTGCTTTTGGCCGATGCGGGCATTTCCAGGCTGTTAGCCGTTGCGGCGTTGGCGTTGTTCCCTCTTTGGTGATCCTGTTCCTCGCTGTGGGCGGGGAGGCCGTTGTTTCCTTAACTTGTTTTGGGACGATGAGTATCTTTCTTTCAATGGTGGCCGTTGGAGGCGCGCTTTCCCTTTCCTGGACGTTGGTGGTTGAAATTTATGTTTGGGCCGGTGAAGCCGTTTGAGGTTGTTCCTTGTTTTGAGGACGGTGGCCTCATTTCCTTTGTGTGGCCGATGAGGGTGTTTGCGCACTCCTTTTGGCCGTTGCTGGTTGGCCTTCGTGTTTTTGGCCGAAGAGCCCGTCAAGATTAATCGTTGGCGGAGGACGATGAGTGTCCTCGCCTCTAGTGGCTTATTGGCCGTTGCTAGTGACGTTATGGGCCTTTGGCCGATGAAGTTCCGTTGTGCTGTGTGGATGATGTGGCCATGTTTTGTGGTTACCTTGTTTATACTCTTTGTTTCGTTGAGGCCGGTGTAGTCCCCCAGTCCCCCACTGCTTCAGGCCGAAGAGTGTGAGGGGTGAAGGAGTTGCTTGAGTCCCTGGCCGAAGCGGTCTCGCCGTAGTCCCCCTGAATCCAACTCTCATGGCGATTTTCTGGCCAAGGTAACCCTGTGGGAGAACCCTTGTGCACAGATCGCTTGTAGAGAGTTATCATCAAGGGTTATTACGAGGAGCCGAAGGCTGTAGGCTATTTGTCCCCTTTGTTCTGTGGCCGTTACGTTCCTGGCCGTTGCCATCCTCTTATTGTTTGGCATTTGTGATATTGGTGAGCAAGTGGGACGTTGTGGGCGCTTGCTGGCAGTTGTAAAGCCGTTGAGCGTGTGTAGGCCGTAGAGTCTGATTTGCCAGTGGGCCGTTGATGTGGGTTGGTCCTGGCCCGTTGGTGACGTGGTGGCCCCCCAGTGGTGGCCGTTGATGTGGCCATTGAGGGAGTGCCACGTGTAGTGACCGTTGGTGGGGGTGTCTATAAATACCCCTTCCCCTCCGACGAAGAATCACATTTGCATTCTGAATTTGTCGAAGTGCTGGCCGATTTTCTAGAGAGAGAAACTCCCAAGCCTGTTCTTCGTGTTCTTCGTTGTTTGAGGTTAGTGTTCATCACGATCTTCCTCACTTTTTATATTTTGCTCCGTAAGTAGTTGATCTAGTGTTAGGCGTTTAAACACCTTTAGATCGTAAGTTCTCCTTAAGCCCGTAGTAGTAGTAATGAAGAGCTTGAACGACGACTACTACCCCTACGACGACCAGCCCTCCACGAGGTCGCTTGACTACGAGGTGCTCGAGGAGTTTGAGGAGGAGATAGAGCGTTTAAGTCCATACAAGTCCGCGGAGCTGATGGACGAGGAAGGCGAGGACGAGGAGTCCGCGTCCTCTTCAAAGGGTGAGGAC